GTAGAAATCCATCCACCCAGAGGTCATTATGATTCGCATTGTGTGTGACTCCTTCTAGCCTTTTCTACATGTGTGTAGAATATATATGTTCCTTTGCATATTTGTACACTTATGTACATAGACATGTGATTTCATACACTGTATTTTGCTTTTGTCATTTAACATTAAGTTTTCCCCATAATTTTAATATTTTTTAAATTACTTAAATTTCCTATTTTCCCCCCTATTTTTGCCTCCTGAAATTATTTAAGAACAGCATTTTCCAATGCTGAGTAAGTTTCCAGCCTATGAATGACTCGAGCTGTTGGAGGTCTGGGCTTGGTGCCATTTTTGGCCGCTGTGGCAGTGCCCTGGGACGTGCATTGTTCACTGTCTGTGCCTCTCGTTATGCACAGTGACCAGACATCCTGGCATTTGCCTGTTGGCTCAGCTGGATTATGAATAGGGCCCTCGCTCCCTCTCACAGCTGTCACCATTTGGACAACAGATTGCACAGACCTCCTTCAGGGGGCTCGGAGGCACCTGGAGACCATGTGGGGCGGGCAGGGTCGGGGGAGGCAGGCGGAGGTGGCTCCAGGGTTCTGTTGTGGGCACCTGGGTGAGGATGGTGACAGCAATCCCTGAGTTGAGGGGGAGGGCGGTGGTGTTTGGAGACGCTGAATCAGAAGCTTCCACATGACTTTGCAGAGACCCCGTCTAGGAGGCAGCTGGAGATGCAGTCCTCACCACCAGAGGTCGCTCGGCATGGAGGGGCTGGCAGTCCCCCTGTGTGCTTTCCAGGGCCCACTCAGCGCTTGGCGGAAGGCTCAAGCCGCGCCAGGCATTTCACCACTGCCTGTGTCAGGGCACCAGAGAGCTGGGGAGGGGGAGGGACACCACGCTTCAGACAGCCGATTGTGAGCTTACCCCTAAGCTTATCCCGTGAGGGTCTCAGACGTTCAACAATGAAAGGCAGCGTTGTTCCAACTTGTACCCGAGTCCAAAAGAAGGGGCAGGGGCACATGGTGACCATCTCAGCTGGAGCTCTGGCTTGGCAAGACTTAACCTTTTCCAACTGCAGACCTCTGTCTTGGCAGCCCTGGGGCCCTCAGTGGGAGATGGCCAGCCCCTTCACTGACACAGAAAACATCTGGGGCCCAGAGAGAGGAGCAACCCCTCAAGGTCAAGGTTGGGGCTATGGAATGCATCCTAGAACCTTGAAGTGAGAAGAATACCACCAAATCCACGTCTAAGTCAACCCTCATGGCAACCCCAGGAGGGCGAGGCCATCATCCCCATTGGCAGATGAGAAAACGGAGGCTCGGAGAGGTGACGTCAGAGAGGTCGGCAGAGGCTGGCTTTGAAGCGTCTCTGCTTTCTGCCCTTCTGCCCCCACACTGCCTGCATCCAGAGGGAAGGCCCTTCTCTGTCCCCTTCATCGATATGTACAGACTGACCTGGTGGATTACAGCCCTCATTCAGCAGATGTGACACACACACGTCGAGGCAGGTCCTGGGCTGAAGATACAAAGATGACGAGAATGTGGCCCCTGACCTGAAGGGGTTATAATCTAAGGGCAGAACTACAAAACCGCATACCTCTATTGTTCAGAGGAGAGAAGCGGGGCCCCAGGAGGGGGGGGAACCTCCTCAAGCCCACGTGGTCATTTAGGGGCAAGAACAGAACAAGAGCCCAACTCTGTACCCCGTTTCTTAAAAAAAAAAGTCACCTGGCAGTCAGTACACACATAAGTTGCTCACCCTCTCAGATAACCAAGGAAATGCAAACTGCAACCACGAGGAGAAGTCATTTTATACTCATTACATTGACAAAAATGCCCAAGTGCGATGGCAGCAAGTGCTGGTGAGGATGAGGAACGGTGGACACTCCGTGCACTGCCATCTGCACTGCACAAGCCTGGTGCAGGACCCCATCAGTGGGTGAAGACATAGCCGGGTGGCCTCCTGGCCCAGCACCTGTGCAGTCACACGGGCCATGCCTGGCTTCATTCTCTGCTGCTGCCATCTTGAAATTCCTCATAATTAATCAAGCGGCCTGCATTTTAATTGCACTGGGCCCCGCAAATTCCATTGCCAGTCCTGCCCAGGGTTCTACTCCTTGGTAGACGCCCCAGAGAAACTCTTGTACACGGTACTAGGAGACTGTCGAGAATGTTCTTAGCAGCTCTGTTTCTGCAAAAAGCCGGAAACCCACACAGCATGGATGAACCCGAGAAACCGAATGCTGAGTGAGGGAGACATGAAGCAGAATGCACACAGCAGAATCCCATTTTCATCAAAAGACAAGCAAAACAAAACGAGAGTGTAGGGAAATGTACAGTTGTGGTAAGTGTACAGAGATGGTGCGGCGTGGGGGGCTCTCAGAGGAGCACTGGGAGGGCTTCAACCCCGCTCACAGCTCCTGGAGGCTGCTTGGTGGGTCTGTAGTTCTATCTGATCTATGACGTTGACTCTCGGTGTGTCTACGTCAAATCCTTCATATCATAAAAATAGAAGAACTGCGCAGGCACGCTGCGCTGTCAGGATCAGGCATGGAGAGAGGACGGCCGGGCAGCCTGTGTTTGTCTCCCTGCTGAGCCCTGAGGCTGCGGAGAGGCGGCTGTGAAAGGGGAATGTTCTCGGGCTGGTGCCCAGCCCACCTGGACGTTAGTGGCAGCTGCTGAGAACCAGCTCCACGAAGTGAGGCCTCTTAATTCACTGAGAGCGTAATGATGGAGACAGACATCAAATGTACCAAATAATAGCCCGTTTTTGCCAATGAAATATGTACACGTAGTTCTGACTCCAAAACTTGTAGCTCTTAATCTGTTTTATCTTCAGCAACTTTATATTGTTTTAATCTCTGGGCAAAGAGGTGCCTTTCATTTTAAGAGGTTTATTTTTTATTTATTTATTTATTTATTTTATTAAGATTATGATAGATTACAACCTTGTGAGATTTCAGTTGTACATTATTGTTAGTCATGTTGTGGGTACACCACTTCACCCTTTGTGCCCTCCCCCCACCCCCCCCCTTTCCCTGGTAACCACCGATGGGTTCTCCATGTCTATACGTTAACTTCCACCTATCAGTGGGGTCATATAGAGTTCGTCTTTCTCTGTCTGGCTTATAAGAGGTTTATTTTTTAAACTGCATTTCTATTTGGTTCCGTACCTGAAATAAAATCTTGTTTTTCCTCTTTTCTCTTTTCCAAGATTTGTCATGTTGTCATATCACTTTTATAATTTAAGAAAGGAGGAAGAAGACAGAGAGGGGAAGGGAGGAGGAGGAGGGGCTCTCTCCTGCCACAGCCAGGACGACTGTCGGTGACGGGGGTCGGAGGAGGGGCCTGCCTGGGATGGGGAGTGGAGCTCCCATGGCCCCCTGCACCGTGCCCAGAACTGGCACCTGCCAGGACCCTCTGCTGGGGTTGGATCAATCCCCAGGGCTGCTCTCAGGAGGCCATGCCCACTCCTTGGCCTTGGGCACCCAGATGTCTGGCACTCCGGGGCCCAAGGCCCAGGAAGCAGACCCAAGGTGAGGTGCAGCTTCGCCCGTGGGCCCAGCGGAGCCTCTGTCCTTGACTGGTTCAGAACCCAGCTCTGTCCCAGACCAGCCCAACCAGGACAGGAGGGCTGTGCAGGACCGGAAGGGGACAGCTAGGGGTCCTGAGAGCCTCTGTGGGGAATTCTGCAGGTGGGCTAGTCATCAGCCCTCCCAGCCAGCTTCCTACCTGTTTCCTGGCTCGGCCTCATCCCGACCGCAGCCCGGGAGACCTGGCGGTCAGTTCACATGCTCAGGCTGAAGCCCCCACCTGGTGGGAGTGAGACCCTGTCTCCACAGCCCTGCTCCCAGCCCTCTCCCTGTGCCCTCAGACTTCTGCGCCAGACTTGGCCTCTGGCTGCAAGTTTGTTCCCCTGCTGGCAGAGAGCCTGGCTGATGTCCTCGGCCCCCACCATCACCTGCCATCACAACGCCCAGCTGCCCCAAGGGCCGCTCAGCCCCTGCCTGGCTGGTGTGCCCAGTCCCTCAGGCCTCCCCTGGCCCTCACTCCACGGCCCCAGAGAGGGTGCTCTCCCGGGCTCCAAGCTCCGTAACGATGGGGGTAGTGCAGAGCCACCATCTGGCTGTAGCGACAGATTCAGACACATGAGGAATTCGTTAGGGAACAACTAAGACAGCATATACTTAAGGACGAGGCTCTGCTGGGAGCTCGGAGGCGGCAGGGGTGGGGAGGGGAAGGCAGACAGATGAGTGTGGGGGGCCCCAGCCGCCCTCAGTGAAATGACAGAGACAAGGCTCTCTCCCATGCTGTGTGGTATGGGGGCTGGGCCACCTGGAGTGGGAGGGGCCCTGGGAGCTCTCAGGGGTGACTTGGGAAGGACTGGGAGAAATCAGGCCCACAGGCCCCCAAGTGGGCCAGAAGGGGCCTGGGGCAAGGAGAGCAGGCAAAGGCTCGGGGTCCAGGGCAGGGGCTGGGGTGGGAGGGATGCAGAATCCCCGGCTAGCTGACCCCCAAACGGCCCCAACAGCACAAGTGCCACCCACGTTTGGGGGAACAGTTCAGGCGGCATTTTGAGGCTGTGGCTCAGCAGCGCATGTGTGGAAGCATTTTGACATTTCCTGTTCCTGGAGGTCTGAGTTCAGCCAGGAGCACGAGCCCTGCGGGCAAGCTGCTCACCTGCCCTCCCATCTGAGAGTCACGCTGGGAGGGTCTCCATCTTCAGGGTCCCTGGGCTACTTCAGGCTCCTGTGGGCTCCCCAGTGTCATGTGAGGTCCCCAGTGCCTCGCCCCGCTCCTGTCAGCCCTGCACAGGCGCACCGTGAACACACCCCCTGCTGCCAGCGAGGGTGGGCTCGGAGCCCAGGGATGAGCCCCAGATTGGGCTGGCTGGGATCTCTCCTGAATGCATCTGCTCTCAGCAAGGAGATTGTGGATGGCCCCCCCAGCAGCTGCCAAGCACACCTGGACACCCAGGGGGACCCAGCGCTCGAGGTGAGAGAAGGTAGGACTCTGGCGACAGGGTTTCACAACTTGTGGTTTATTGACACTTGAGCACAGTGGCCCTGGGAGGAGACTGCCCTTCTGGCCCCCTCACGCTAGGACTTGTCCCTGTGGACAGGGGGACCGCCATCCTGTCTCAGAACAAGACCCCCCTTGCACCACTCCCAGGAACCCACTGAGATGTGCGGATAAACCCTTGGCGAGGCCGGCGTGGCACGTTTGGCAAAGCTAAAGCGCAGGCCTCCTGGGGCTGCCCCCTTGGGCTACAGCCAAAATCAAACCAAAACAGCTTATTTTGCACAGGCCCACCCGGTTTCCGTTTAGCTCGGGTGGGGGCCAGGTCCAGGAACAGCCAGAGCTGCCCCCCAGCCCTGGGAATACTGCTGAGGTAGCCGGGACGCAGGGGAAGGGGCGAGGCCGGGGGCCGCGTGCCGGCCCAGGGAGGGCGGGGAGGCAGGACTGCGGCCAAGGGCAGGGGTCGTCAGAAATGACCGCGGACCTCAGAGAGCCTGTGCTTCTCCCGTGGGGCCCGCCTGTCACTCTCCCCCCATAACACATCCATTTCCTAGTCCTGGACTCCAAGGACAGTCTGGGTCAGGGAGGCCACGCGTTTGCCTCCAGGGTGTCAGCAGGTTGGGAGCTTGACTAGAAGCCCCTGGGGGCCCGGCGGCGCCCTGCCCCTCCCAGGCCCCCCACGCCTGAGGAGGGAGCCTACGCTTCTGCCACCCCCGCTGCTCAGCATCAGCCCTACCTGTGAAGGCAGGGCCGGCTCTCCAGCTTTTGCACCCACGTGAGGTGCTGGCATCTGCAGCGATTCTTTTCCAACCCACTTAAATTTAAGAATAGACACCAATAGTACTTAATCACCCCTCCCTGCTGGCGGTGGGCGGGGCCTCAGCACCGGCAGTAGCTCCCCTGCTGCACCAGGCTCACCGCAAGCAGCCCCTGCACCTCCCAAGTTCCAGGAGCTGCTGCACAGACTCAGTGCAACCCTGTGCCCTAAAAGGGGAAACTGAGGCCCAGGGAGGGGCAACGGCTTGCTCAGCCCCAAAAATGAGCTAGTGGCAAAGCTAGGACTTGAGAAAGGGATCAAGGCTTACAGAGCAGTGCCTGTGGCCTGGAGAGGAAGTGGGCCAGGACTCGCAGAGGGTGAAGGTGCCCAGGGGCTCTGTCAAGATGGAAGAGACCTCCTCCGTGCCTGGGTGCACGCACCAGGTCAGGCCCGGGGCAGCGGGAGAGCGGGGACTCCCTTGGTCTCAAGGCAAGGACCAGCAGCTCCCAGGCTGCACCAGACAGCCAAGGCCTCTGCCAGGCAGCCTGGTGGGTGGGGGGCGGGAGCCTTTGACTCAGCCTGGCTCAGGGTGGGGGAGACACTGGGACAAGCATGGAGAGATCTCCTGTGCTTTGGGCCTTGGGCCGGAGCATGAACATGACCCAGACTCCATGGGGTGAAGCTCCACTCTTGGTAGCTGTCAACCGAGTGAGACTCGCAAAGAAACCATTGACCCCTCCTTCCATTAAGGTCATGCCCATGGGTGGCTGGGCTGGTAGTGAAGGGTGGGGCCACATCCCCCCTCGTGCCAGCCTGGTGCTGGGAGGGGCTCACGAGGAGGCTTCGGGCCCCCAGAAGGCAGAGGGGCCTTCAAGTTAAATGGAGCAATACCTGGTCATGTTGGCCACCAAACCCTCTCTGAGTTGCAGTGACCATGTCTGAGATGCTTTCTGTCACGAGCCCTGGAGCAAGGCACTGACCGTCCGTCTCAGCTGCTGCTTCCCTGCCGTGGGAGTGGGGGTGAGCCCTGAGGCTGCAAGCTCCTCCTTTCTTGCTGGATGGTGGACTGGCCTCAGCAGGGGCGGCTCTCACCATCCACCCCTTCCCTGGGTGAGAAGGGCCGAGGTTCCCCTCAGTGCAGCTGGGATTGCTCCCTGGGGCCCCACTACAGTGGGGGGACTCTGAACCACAGGACCTCATGGCCTTGGCGACCTGACGCCAAGCTTCCTCCCACTTCCCCCTGCCCCCCCCCACCCCGTGACATTCTCCTGAAGCCTCAGCTAAGCCAAAGCCACCCACTGCCCTTCCCAGATGTGCTGGTCTCTGCCTGCACAGCCCTGCCCACCACCGCGAGTCGGGCCCCCAGGCTCCTCTCTCCAGTGGCCCTGGCCTCTGCGGGGAGCCCTCGCCCAGCCCTGCCCCTTTCAACTCCACACGGGAGTCAGTGGCACGTCACAAAGACAGAACTCTTCCAGGAAGAACTCTAGCCCGAATCATGCCACTCTGACAAAATAAATCCTTTGTAAGAACTGCAACATGCTTGGCGGAATCCGTCAGAGGCCCGGCACTTCCAGCCTCACCTTAGGCTGTTTAAGGCACTGAATGGCTTATTAACACCACCTGGAAAAATTTTGTCTCAGTCCTGATTTAGGGGAAAAAAAATTCAGTAATACTGCAAAAGACGTTTCCCCTAAAAAAAAAAAAAATCAATACTTAGTTTCCTAAGGGATAAACCAAACACTAAGCCCTGTCTAAGTTACATGACACATCAGGTACCTTGGCACTGACGAAAAAGACAGCCCTGAAATACTGCTTCTGAATCTGACTGCTCCCTGACAAAAGACCGCAAATGAAAGGCGCGCATGGTCATTCTGAGACCCCCCTCCCCGGGCGCTCCAGGGATGGGGGACCAGGGAGGCCAGGGCAGGCGTGTCACCAGTGGTGGGCGATGCAGCAGACCAGATGCCTGGTGCTCCCTTTTTTCCTGGTGGGGAAGCCGGCTCGGCCAGCAGGGACCCGCCAGGCGCATCTGCGGATCTGAGCCCTCGCGGCTGTGGGCAGCGTGGAGCCAGTGAGAAACCTGTGCCGGGCACCCAGGACGCTCTTGAAAATGTCCGTGGCTCCCAGGTCTGCCCGATGGCCCCCCATGCTGTGTCCTGCTGCCCTGAGTGCTCGCCTGGCGCCTGTGGCCTCTGGTCCAGCCCCTGCCTGACCGGGAGCAAGGGCCGGCCCACCTCCTGGCCTTGGCTCCGTGGTGAGGTCTCTTCCTAGGCTCCCTTGGAGATCCTGCCGTCCCACTGCCTACCACCAGCAGGGCGCGACACTCACCACCCAGTGCAGATCCCATCCCCCGGGATGGGCCAATGCAAGCAACACGAGGGGCTCGGGGGCTGGGCAAAGCACTGCGCGGGCGGTGCCACCTGCACTGCTAGCCATCAGGTCCTAAGGCATCTGACGGAGGGTCACAGGGTGGGGCCAGGGGCTGGGACCTCCTAGCTTCTCGGTGGTGTGTTGGTCTCTGGCTCTGAGAGGCCAGAGGGCAAGTCCCCTGCCCCCTGGGCCCCGCCCTCCAGCAGGGCTCGGGGGTCCCTGAGGAAGACCACCATGACTGTGATGTTGTCGTGGGAGCCCCGCTCCCGGGCTGCAGCCACCAGCTCCTCGGCGACGTGTAGCCCACTGCCCTGCTGCCTGACCAGGTGGCTCTGCACGAGGCCAGCAACCTCATGGTGGGGGACAACGTCGAAAAAGCCGTCGCAGGCGAGCAGCAGGTAGTCCTCGGAGCCCGTCAGCTCCTGGGAGGCTGCATCCGCCTCCCCAGACACGTAGGGCTTCTGGAAGACATCCCCTGGGTATGAGAGAAGCGCCTCACGTCAGAGGGCCCCGCTGCCTCCTGCTCCCACCCGTCCTGCCAGGTCTCGCCTCGCTGTGCCCCGCAGATGCTCATGGGACGAGGATGCTCACAGGACGAGGGCACAGGGGTGAAAAACTAATTTCATACGGTCCTAAGCGCTATGGGAAACACAAAGGAGGACCTTGTGACAGGTCGATTCTGGTGTCCCTGAGGGCAGCAAGGCCAGAGTTCAGCTCCAAAGAGCAGCTTTCTCACTTCCAGGGGAGCCAGGCCCCAAGCAGGGTGGCTGAGGACACTGCACAGGCCGTGGCTGTGGCCCTGGCCCTCCTGAGCTCCTGACAGCTCCTAATGGGCACCTCAACTAAGTGTGTCCAAAATGCTCGCTCTTCCTCCCTCACACCTGCTCTTTCAGTCTCCCCATCGCAGAAAACAGCAGGACGATCCCCCCCAGGTCCTTATGCCCGAATCTGCAGGTTCCCTCTGACTCTCCGCCTCACGCCCCACACCCAGTCCATTAGCAAGTCCTGTCGGCTTTACCTTCAAAATGCATCTCGAACCCACAGCCCCCTCCTCGTTTCTACAGCTCATGCCTCACCCAGACCCCCGCAGAGCTTCTGGTGGGCCCCTCTCCTTCCACTCCTGCCCGACAGCCCCTTCTCCACGGAGCGGGAACTGGCCCTCCTCCCGCCCGGGTGCCCGGGCCAGGCAGAGCAGCGAGGAGGCGGGCTCTGCGGAGGCAGCACTGTGCGCTGCGGGGGGCAGTGGAGCGGGAGGTTGCTAAGTCCTCGGAGGGAGACGTGAGGCTGTGAGAAAACAGGACAGGTGCTCTCTTTACTTCAGATTTTAAAAGATAGAAAAAATCATCAGCATGATGCGGGGAGGGGAGTAAGCCTCACGTATGGAATGTTGAAAAATGATCTTCCAGCATGTGGAGCAGCTAGCCAAGGGTTTCCTACTAGATTTTTCTGAGGAACTGTTTCCACAAAGAGAAAATAACACATAACTTAAACTGCAATTATTTGTGCGAGACGAAAGTTTCTAAGGGGTCTGCACCTGCGCTCTCTAAGGTCACCAGAGTCCCTTCACAATCTGATGGATGGCACCACCCTGTAGGCCGGCACATGACACCGCCGCCCAAACAGCTGGGCGAGCCCGTGGCCTCGAGGGGTCAGGAGGCCTGGGCTGGGGAAGCCGTGCCCTCCCTCCCTCGCCTCCTCACCGATGGCTCTGGAGACAGCCAGGGTCCCGTTGACTCTCCAGCAGTCCATGTGAGACACGAAGCCACCCAGCGCCTCGATGCGCTCCCGCTCGTCCTGCAGGAGACACGAGAGTGGGGCCCGGGCACGCGAAGGGCGGCTGCCTGGTGTGGTGCTGTCACCCGAGAGCAGATGAGCTGCTTTTGGAGATGGCATTGGGAGCCACGGCTCTTGAACAATGCCCAAACGAGGCACCAGTGAAACAGTGGGAATGACAAATAGCCTCAACGACCATCAGTTGCAGGAACGGCTAAATGGGTTATGGTGCCAGCACAGACGGACCACCCTTGGCGGACGGCCGTGGCCTCCGAGTCTCGGGCTCAGGGAGATGCTCAGGAGGCAGCAGAGAGCGCGCACCCCAGGGTCAGAGAGCGGGTCCCTCAGCTGCCTTGCCTCCTTTGTGGGCTGCTGGGACCTTGAGACCCAGCATGTGCTGTGTGTGGCCACTCGGCAGGGTTGCGGCCAAGTCAAGACCCTGAGGCTCAGACAGGTGAGTGATCTCTGGGTCCCAGCATAGGCCCAGCCTGAATCCTTCAACCCCAGCTCAGCGTCGTCTCCTCCCTGAAGCCCTCCTCCCCCACAGCCCAGGTGGTCGGCTGCTCTTTGCCCATGTGCATGACAGGACCCTGCATATTGACCCCCTCACTGGGCTGCCTGCCGGGGCAGAGGGCCTGGCTCCCCGCTGCAGCTCAAGGCTCCATGTCGCTGTGACAGGAAGGGGTCACTCTGGATGCCTGGCTGTCAATGCCCCAAACTTCAGGGGACTCCAGCCACTCGAGACAGGCAGGGGAGCCCTCCCTCTGGAGGAGCACAGGAGCGTCCAGGAAGACGCGCTGCTTTACGCCCTCATCCACCCGACTGTCTGCTTCCCTGCAGGGCCCAGCACGGTGGGGGCCGGGGGTGTCCCAGGCACGGATGGAAGGAGCCCCTTACCTGTCGCTCGGGTCTGTGCGGCTCCATCAGCTTCACCACCTGTCCCTGCTGCACCAGGATGACCTGAGAGTCTCCGAGCCAGGCGACGTGCAGGGTCTTTCCCGCGATGAGCGCGCACACGCCGGTGGTGCCGCTCTGCAGCCGCTGCAGGGAGAGAGGCCCGCCTGGGTGAGGGCGTGGCCGGGTGTCCACACCACAGGCACACACCCGTCCGGACGGACAGGATGCTGCAAGACGGCTCGGCCGGCAAGGGGAATGGACAGCGGATGCGCACAAGGGCCCCCAGGACTCTCATAAGGCTTATGCTGCGAGGAAGGAGAGCACGTCCTGTGTGGTCCCGCTGATCAAACTCGAGAGAACACTGCAGCCTGCGGTGTCAGAGAGCAGACCAGCGGGTGCCGGGGGAGCAGGTGGGCAGCAGGGGGACAATGAAGGGCGGGAAGAAGCTCAGCAGGGATGGATATGTCTGCTCCTGTGGTGACGGTTACTCAGTGTAGACAAATGCCCAAACCTATCAAATTGTATCCTTTAAATGTGTGCAATTTATGCGTCAATTAGATTTCAATGAAGCTGTTTTAAAATCATAACAAACTCAACACCTGCTTCAGAGAATCCTTTCTCTACTCTGAGAGGCAGCCTTGAGCTCAGGGACCCTTCCCAACTCCTGGGGTGACGGTGGCCAGGAGGGATGGGCGTGCCAGCTTGTCAATGGGCTCCCACCTTACAGCCTTGGATGCTGTGTGGCTTTCTGTTAAGATGCAAAGTCCAGCTTTGCTGCTTTCTGCTGAGGTCCATGCTCAGAGTGTCTGGCACACTGCACTCCCTCCTGAGTCTCCTTTGAGCTACACCAACCGGGGCAGGCCTTTTAAGCTCTCTGGGCCTCAGATTCCCAGGGACTCTGGACACGACCGTAGTATCTGCCCCGCAGGGCTGCTGGAGGACCACTGAGTCTATAGCGAGGTGCTGTGGGCAGTAAGCTGATGGGGCGGTGGGGGGTGGGCAGCAGTTGCGACACGTTCTTTCTTCTTTCAGATGGCTGTAACTGCTGAGGAAAGAGCCCCCCAGCAGACAGCAGCAGCTGCCGAGACCCTACCCGGGAGAGCAAGGGGAGGCGGGGCTGGGCCTTAACCAAGTGTTTTGTTTTCTGTGGCTTTGACAAGTCGGTGGACTTGCTAATCCTGGAGAGAAGGCCCCTCCCAGGGCTAATTCTTAAAGACAGCAAACGTCTGGTGGGAGTGCGCCCTTCACGCACAAGCCGGCTGGGGCTTCAATGGCCTCCTTTGTTCCTCATGCCAGGCCACTGTTTCCCTGAGCCTGGAAGGCCGGGGAAGGCCCCCAAGCCCGCAGCCCGTCGAGGGTCTTCACACTCTCAGGTCCTGTGTTTCTGTGACTTGCCTACCCTGCCTCACCCACGCCTTCCTGCGGAGTCCCCAGTGATGGCTTTGGCCACGCCACCCCTACTCCCTCTGCCTCCTGACCCACCCGGTGCTTCTCCGCGTGGCCCTGCATGGCCTGGCCTCTCCTCTCGGGAACTGTAAGTCATAAACTCCTTGTTCAAGGCAGGCGTCTCTGTGCCTGTCGTCTTATCACACCTGATTCAAACAAAACCCTGGGCACAGTCTAAGAGAGGCTGCCCTCCTCCATGAGGCCTCACGCCCTCTGCAGCTGTGGGGCCAGGCGTGTGGGATCAGGGGCAAGCTTTATGCTGCTTCTATTCAAATGAAACACACGCCCCCTTCATTGTAGGAAGGAAATGGCACGACTGCCAGCAGAGCTTGCTGAGGCCCTTCTGAGGCAGTGAACCACTTGGATTTCTCTCTCTGCAGGGTCAGGTCTCCCTGGCGCTCCCCGCTCCTGCCCTCAAACTGCACGAGCCCACCTACGAGTTCTCACCTCTCGCTTGGCTTTCCACAGAAACATCTCGTCGGTGCGCCGGAAGGCTTCCCTGAGGGCCCCTGCAGGGTCTGTAGGTAGCTCCGGCCGGCGGGCAGCATGGGCATGCACGTGTGCAGCAGCGTACCTCGCAGCGTCCACCCCGCCGTGACCGTCAAACACGGCAAAGTAGGCGCGGTCCACGGGGTCCTGGTGGGGACACAGTGGGAGTCACAGTCCTGCCCGCTGGCCTCGAGCCTGACCAAGGCCGTGCCCCGGCCAGCGGCTCTCACTTGGTGGGGGAGCCCGGGTGCCGATGGGGTAGGGTCTGGAAGACCAGCATGGCCTTTGCCATCAGACAAGCCAACCTGGTTCAAGCACTTATGAGCTGGGAGATTTGGAAAAGGACAACCCTCCAGGGCCTCAGTTTCACCTCTGTCCCGAGTTGCTGGGAGCATAAGATGAGGTAAGATGTAGCAGGTGGCGCGGGGGCTGGAGACAGAGCAGGGCTCAGCAATCCTGAGCCTGAGATAAGCGTGGCGCCTGGGGCCTCCCCTCCTAACAGACGTGGGCAAACTACGCCCTTTCTCCAGTCCCTCAGCTGGGAAGTCTAGGTGGCTGATGGCTGTCCTGGCCCGGAAGTGCCGGGACAATGAATGGGGCTTCCCAGGCCCCCTGGGAAGGGCTCTGAGAGCCGTCCGGCACTTCGGCCTCCAGGTGGCCACTGCAGGCATCACTCCTGCCTCAGCTCTGGCCGGCAGCTCTGCTTGCACCCAGGGTGGCCCCCACCCGCCACGCAAGCCCTCCTACACTGTCCTGATCAGGGACACCAGCCTCACACGCCACCCCGGGGCCCGGGAGGAGGGCACTGGAGGTGGCACACTCACGGACAGGCCGAAGAGCTGGTTGAAGGCCGAAAGGCACACGTGCCGGTCCTCCATCTTGCGGCGAGTGTTCCGGATGGCGTGGATGGAGACCAGCCACTGCCTCTGCGGAGCCTGGGCAGTCGAGGGCACCTGCTTCTGCCACCGGCTGCATACTTCCCAGAGCTGGTTAAAGAAAGTCCTCACCAGGCCCTCAGCATCCAGCACTGATGGGCAGGACGGCGGGTTGTTAGGGAGCACCAGGCAGGCCAGACGAGGCTCCCACTCTCTCTGTCCCCCTTTCCTGGGGCCCCTGAAGCTTTCAACAGCCCTGTCACAGGCCTGCACAGGCCCAACCAGCCCGTCACCCCCCAGGGCATTCTGAGCACACTAGCCTAATACACTATGTGTGACAGCCTGAGTCACTGGCCGTGAGAAATGTCCAGCTTGGCAATCCGTGCCAGGAGCCTCCTGTCCCACAGTGGAGCAGCGCCCCTCATGGAAGCCCATCCCAAGGAAAGGCAAAGATAATTTAAGAACTAAGTACAGAATCATTTATAATTGTGCATTAATTAGAAACAATATATATCCAATGATAGAGTAAATTATGGTCTGTTCTCTTGACAAAGAATTAAGCTGCTATTAAAAATGATTTTCACAGGGCCAGCCTGGTGGCACAGTGGTTAAGTGCGCACGTTCTGCTTTGGTGGCCCGGGGTTCACTGGTTTGGATCCCAGGTGCAGACATGGCACCGCTTGTCAAGCCATGCTGTGGCAGGCATCCCACATATAAAGTGGGGAAGATGGGCACGGATGTTAGCTGATGGCCAGTCTTCCTCAGCAAAAAGAGGAGGATTGGCAGCAGATGTTAGCTCAGGGATAATCTTCCTCCAAAAAAAAAATAAAAAAGATGTTCGTAACTAAACATGCAACTGCCCTATAACCCAGCAACTGCACCCCTGGGCATTTATCCCAGAGAAATTAAGACTCCATTCACACAAGGACCTGTGCTCGGCTGTTCACAGCGGCTTTAACTGGAACAGCTGGAATCGGCCTAGATGTCCTTCAACACGTGAACGGTTAAACAAACTTTGGTACATGGTGCCACGGAACACTACTCACAGAAGAAAAGGAGCAGCTCCCGACACAGACAGCGGGAAGAACCTCCAGAGAACTACGCCAAGTGGAGAAAGCCAAGCCCCCCACACTACATCCTGTGTGACCCCGTCTGTACGCACCCTGACCTGACAAAATTACACAAATAGAGATGATTCATGGTTGTCAGGGGGTCAGGACGTGGGGGGTGTTAAGGTGGCCGTAAAGGATGAGGGATCCTTGTGGGATGACACTGTTCTGTGTCTCGGCTGTGTCAAGGTCCTGGTCGCGAGACTTCCCTGTCGTTTTGCAAGATGTTACCTTTGGGGGAAACTGGGTGCAGGATGCATGGGATCACTCTATATTATTTCTTACAACTGCATATGAGGCTTCAGTTATCTCTAAATACAGTTGAATTAAAAAAACTGAAGGCGCTGGCCTGGTGGTGCAGCGGTTAAGCAGGCACGCTTTGTTTGGGAGGAGCAGATCCCGGGCATGGACCTAACACCGCTCATTAAGCCATGCTGTGGGCGCCCCACATACAAAATAGAGGAAGACTGGCACAGATGTTAGCTCAGGGCCAATCTTCCTCACAAAACAAACAAACAAAACCTGAAGAGTAAAAGAAAAATGGGCTTTTACAGAGTTTGCAAGTATGTAAAATGCTTATGTCATGATATTAAGGAAAAACATTCATGTTTAAGAAAAAATGTTGTAGCGGCTGGCCCCATGGCCGAGTGGTTAAGTTTGTGCGCTCCGCTGCAGTGGCCCAGGGTTTCGCCGGTTCAGATCCTGGGTGTGGACGTGGCAGCGCTCATCAGGCCACGCTGAGGCAGCGTCCCACATGCCACAACTAGAAGGACCACAACTAAAATATACAACTATGTACTGGAGGGATTTGGGGAGAAAAAGCAGGATAAAAAAAAAAAGATTGCTAACAGTTGTTAGCTCAGGTGCCAATCTTAAAAAAAAAAAAATGTTGTCAAAAAAGGGAGGGTAGAATATTCCACACACAGTTTGATGATGAGTACATGAGAAAGCTTTCCACCTCTTGGACCCAGAAAATGAAAGGCAGGAAAGGCCTACAACCAAAATGTCAGCGTCAGCGTCGGCAGGTGCTGGTTCTGTGGGTGCTGTTTTCCTTCCATACACTTTTTTTCAGTGCTTTCTCAATTTTCCATGACAAGTGTTAGCTCCAGGTGATGGTTTTAAAATACATCCATAAATTTTTTGATACTTCTCCTTTCAAGAGTGGGAGCCTAATTCCCTTCTCTGGAGTGTGGGACTTTGTGACCTGCTTCTCATGAATAGAATAAAACGGAAGTGACTGTGAGCGGCTTCAGACCCCGGGTCCTAGGAGATGCTGTGGCTTCCACACTGCATGTTCCCTCTCTGTCTCCCTCGTGAATCACTGGCTCTGGGGGAAGCCAGCTGCCATGCTGTGAGGATGCTCAAGCAGCCCGGTGGAGAGTTCACATGGTGAGGAGCTGGGGCCTCCTGCCAACAGCCATGTGACTGGACCATCTTGCAAGTGGAACCTCTGCCCCACAGGCCTTGGTCTGACCGCAACCTCATGAGAGACCCTGGGCCAGAAGCACCAGCTCAGCTGCTCCCAATTTCCAGACCCACGGAAATGGTGGGATAATAAAAGTTTATTGTTTTAAGCCGCTAAATTTTGGGGCAATTTGTTATGCAGAACAGGTAATACCCCCCACAACATGAATTTTAAAACAGAAGCCCAAATCTTACCTCAACCTGACTTCTAAAGAAAAGATTAACGGGGAAAGGTCCAAAGGAAACCTCGGATGCCGTACCTCAGAGACTCAGTTCATTTCGATGCACAAACCCCTCCCGGCCCAGGTGCGTTGGTTCACAGGCATAGGTGAGTCAGGGCTGCTCACCTGCTGGTGGGGGTGGGGCTCAAGGGCAAGTAACTGAAAACAGGGCAGACTCTGAGGAGTGTCACAGGCCATACCAGAGGGACTCAGCGAGCTGGAGAAGGAAGAGCTCCTGCCCAAAGGTGGTGGCTACAGGAGAAGGGCTGAGGCCAGGGAAGGCCTGGAGGGTCTGTGAGCGCAGGAGGCCACTCGGACACACATCCCAGGGAATCCATGCATCAAGGGCGGGGCGGGCGGGGGAGGGGACTGCGAGCCGCTACCACACCCAGGACACAAGGGCCATTCAGGTGTTCGGGAGAACTGGTGGCCAGCAGGGTGGTCTGAGGGGCTGTGGGTGCGGGAAGGCTCAGCTCAGGGGAGACAGGACCTCATGGGAACTGCTCACTGGGGAGGGGCCGGCGCGGGGCTCTGCCTGCCCGGGCCACACAGTCTTAGTCATGGCTCTGCCCCTGGTCAGTGATTCTTAGAACACCCGCCACGACGCTAATTTTGCAAGTATGGCTTTGAGATGATAGACTACTGAGTTCGGCTCCCATGACAGGTCGGAGGGCAGGGTCCGGCTGCAACTTCCTCCTGCGTGGCGCCTCCCTCCTCCACCCCAGGCGCGGGGAGCCCCCACATGAAGGGCCACACTGGTGACGGCCGCACTGTTCCTTCCCGCCAGCAGGTGGCGCCGATTTCCTGCCGGGACAGCAGGGCTGGCCGGCGCTCCCTGTGGGCGCCTAGAGCCAGGCAGTTTTGCAGAGGACAATGGGTGTCCGTCACTGTGCACGGGGTCTCCTGCACCTAGGAGGCGGGAGTGCGCGGCTGTGCTGGAATGGAACCCGGGCAGGGAGCCAGGGAAAAGGGCGCGGCACTCGGACGAGAGGGGTCGGCACCCACTGCAGCGAGAGGCTGCCGTGTCTCTTCCCTCTTCCCCAGCTCTTCCTGCTCTCCCCGCGATGAGGGCACTAATGCTGAGTTTGAAGCAACAGTCAGATAATAACTGTGACAGGAAGGAGGGGTGTGTTACATGGTAACACACACGATATATAAATGCATCAGGTCAACACACTGTACACCTTAACCTTAAACGATGTTATACACCGGTTACATCTCAATTAAAAATAATAATAAAGTAACAAGTCAGATGGGCATGGCAAAGGAAGGGAAATCCACTGAGGTTCCCCCTGCGCAGCCAGCCAGTGCCCGGCCGAGACCCACTCTGCTCTGCATCCAGCTGCCTGCAGCCCCCCCGTGGCCTGAGCGGCACCCTTCTCCAGCAGGCAGGGAGCCACGCCGCCTGTGCCAAGCCCAGGCCACGGCACACCCCGCCACAGTCCATGGGCCGGGCGGCTCCCGCTCTCTGTCCCACATGAACCGACACTTGGGGGAAATACGAAAGGAATTATTAATAAAGCGAAAGAAAGACATGCAAAATAAGAGCCCTGCCTTTCTATGAGGAGGCTCCCTCCGGCTCTGGCTCCTCTGGCTGTGCGATGTGGCTCAGGGCCCACCTGCTGCCTGCTGTCCCGGGGACAGGCAGGCAGACAGGCCTCCACTGGCGCCTCCCCGAGCTCTCATGGACACCACTGAGTCTCCACCTGACAGGGTCCTGAGGTGGGCCAGCCCAGGCAATGGGCCCGAGCGCTGGCATTTTCTACCAGCTGGACCCCGAGGCTGCCCCTGGGAACCGCTCCCACGTCACCACGGGGTGATGTCAGCTGAGGCAGAAGAGCAGGTGTTCGATGTGAGTTAGCACCTTGGTTTCCCCCCATGTAACACGGGATGAGCGTTATTCATCTCCTGGGCTGAATCAGTGAGTTGGCTGTGGCGCTCCCCTCGCCGACCTCATGCCAGTGTGCGTGCTTCCTCTGCATCTCAATTCTGCCACCCTGTCGTGAGCATGCGCACCCGGCGCTGCCCCTTCCAGCCCTCATCATGTGAGGCCCACAACCGCCCTTCCGCCAGCAAAACGGGGATGGAAACGGAGTCCAGGTGAACCCTGACATCTCCCAAACTGGTGCTCCCTTGCAGCCTGTCCCTTGTCTGGCTGGTGAGTCTGTCACCTGTTAAGCCCCAGGGCCCCAAGAGGGGCAGAACTCACAGGTCACAGGGGCCTTCTCCTCTTCTGCGTCGTCATCCTCCTCCTGCCTGGGCTTCTTCCTGAATTCGGAAAGGTCCGCCTGCAGCAGCTTGGAAACTGCCTCATGGGCCAGACACGAAGCAAGTGGTGGCGGAGCATTCCTGGGGACGGGAACGCGATGTGAAGTGGAGCTGGCTCCTCGGCAGAAGCCAATACCCCAGTGCCCACCCAGTGCTCCAGATGGAGACTTTGGGCTCCTCGCCACTCAGGGAGGCCCTTCTGGAGGCAGTGATGACCAGTCACACTGCAGTGTATGGCCCCAATGAGCAGGTCGGCCTCCGGTCCTCAGGGAGCTGGACAGGATGTCCATGCAATGCCATTTACCGGGGCATGTGCGGTACCAAACGTGGGTTGGGGCTGGTGGGGAGGGGGGTGTCACAGACGCATAAGATTGTCTGCTGGTCTTGGTGGCCAGGTCAGACAAACTGCCCAACATCCAGCCTGATGAGAACTCCTGGTCACCAACACCAGCTGGGGAGCCCTGGGGGTTGGGGATCTTATGGGCTGAACTGTGTCTCTCAAACTTCACATGCTGAAGGTCTAACCCCTCAGTGCCTCAGAATGTAACCTTATTTGGAAATAGGGTTGCTGCAGATGCAATGAGTTAAAATGAGGTCATCGTGGAGTAGGATGGGCCCCTAACCAATAACAATGCTGTCCTTATCAAAGGGGGCATCTCGACACAGGCACACACACGTAGAAGCCATGTGAAGATGGAGGCAGAGACTGGAGCGTGGAGCCCACAAGCCAAGGACCGCCAGCATCAACCGGAAGGAACCAGTCCTGCCAACACCTTGATCTGGGTCTTCCAGCCTCTAGAACTCCAAGACAATACATTTCTGTTGTTTAAGACACTAGGCTGTGGGACTGCGTTATGTCCACCCCAGGAAAGGAATCCAGGAGCATGGGACCCGAGGACTGTGCCTGGAGGGCGTGGCTGGGCACCACCCTTGGGGTCCCTGGGCAAAGCAGGCCACTGGGCAGCTGGTGCAAGAATGCACTGGGCGGGGGGCAGGTGTCAGGGCAACAGGGAGCCACGACCTTGGTGTGTTTTCAAGAGGGATGTGACATGATCAGATCAGGCTTTTAGACACCTACCCTGGACTGCAGGGTGAACACTGGGGAGAGGCCAAGGTCCAAGTTGGGCAAGGCTTGGCAGTGGAGGGGAGGGGACAGAGCAGGCATTGGGCAGGGGACTGGATGGGAGATGGAGCCTTGGAATGAATGGGGGTGGGGGCTGCAGCTGAAGGAGCTTGCCAAAGAGGAGGGGCAGAGAGGAGTTGGGGGGCTGGGAGCAGCTGGGGATGTGGGGTAACCCCAGCAGTGGCTGCCTGGGCCATAGAAGCGAGATTTGGCTGACTGCTTCGAAGGGCACAGAGAGGTCACCCAGAACAGAGCTGAGGGGGTGTAGGCAGGGCTGGGAAAGCCAATTAACAGAGGATTGGGAAGCTGCCCAGGAGGACAGGGAGGGCGGGCAGCAGTTCTGGGGAGTCCTGAGGATGGAGAGACTGAGGCCAGCATGGAAGGACTCTGGGAAATTCCACCACCCATGCATGTTTCCATGAGCTCCAAGCCGGCCTGCCAGTCACCTCCCTGGCTCCCTGGACACAGGGATCCATCTTCCTGGGGCCGACAGCCTCTAGGATGCATCCTGACCCTGGAATCTGCCTCCCCACCAAGGGGAGCCCCTCTTAGGCGGAGAGATGTGCACCCTTACCCTCCCCGTGCCCATCCCCAGGGGCTGGGGGCCCACGCCTGGGGAGGCGGCCATCTGCTGGAATGACACACTCGGCTTTCCCCTGAGGGCAAGGACCTCCCAACAGCCAGGTGCATGGTCATGTTCCCTTGGGGGCTGGGCGTCCATGGTGTGTCTACTGATAGTCTTAGAAATCTACCAGGATGAATTCATGATTTTTCAAAATGAGAGGGTGACTCAGGGGAGAAGCCTCTGGAACGGCCTTTGAAAAACAACCAGCCAAGACATGAGAAATGAGTTCCTCTGCCATTAGGGGATTTCCTGCCAGCCACCAGGTTTTCCTTTTTCACAGCAGGGAGAAGAGGCGCCTGTTCTGCTCCAGTGAGGTCGGCAAGGTCGTCTGTGCTGTGGCTTCCTCCAGGCCCACAACGCTGCTGGGGACAGGGGGGCAGCTTCCGGCAGGGGGACCCAGACAATGCCTGGCCGTGGGCCACAGGCCTGGCTTCCTGGACGCCCCTCCCGCCTTATCCAGGAGTCCCACCCGACAAGCCCTGGCGCTCAGGCCCCACACCACATCCCAGGATGCTGCATCACACCCGAGGATGCTGCCGTGGACCCGCCCAGCTTGGGATTTTCAAGGAACTTCCGTCCAGCAGCAGAGGTGAAGAGGTACGTAAATGCTTATGTGTAATTACGCATTACACAAGGTGTAAGTGTAAGGTGTGCACCGCTGGGTGCCTGAGGTGTGCATGGGAACACTAACATGGGGGAAGACAGGACGTCAGTCAGTGCACCCGTGACCTTGGGGCTCTGCCTTCCAGACAGTCTCATAAGGACACCACTATGGTCTGAGAAAACCCCACAGACCCACGTGCTCGGGGCCTTACACCAGAGCTGCAGGCCGGGAAGCAGAGCTCGAGGGGAGCCCGCCCAGCGTGCAGGAGTGCCCGACAGTCAAACACAGTATAGAAAACCTGTGACCACACACGTGAGCATCTGCGACTACGTAGGAAGGAACTACTAGAAGAGGACAAAAATAACTGAAAATAAACCCATTAAGATGGCTGGAAAATATAAGACTCAAAGTAATTCATTTTTAGGGAAGTCTAAGGGGGCCAAGGGGAGCTCTGCAGAGGCCTGCGCCAACCCCTCTGCCTCAGGCCCTGGCGGCCGGGACCCCTGGCCTCTCCCCCATCATAATGCTCTCAGACCTGCTCTGCCATCCTGCTAACGGACGGGACGCCTGCTCAACAACACCTGAGCCCGGGGCCTGCTGCCTCCTCCCGGCTCAGCCTCACCCGCCACCAGGGCCTCGGGGGGCCCCCGCCCCACCTCCAACAAGTGCTGGTTTTCCCTACATTTACCTTGAGACACCTTCTCTCCATCTTAACTAAAACTCACCCCTCCAAGGCCCTGCAGCCCAGCAGACCCCTCGGACCAACCCCTGATTTCTCCAGCTGAGACCTCACCCTGGGCAGGAGGGCAGGTCCCCCGTTCCTGCCACCGCCCGCCACCCTTCTCTTCCTCACCCCCTCCCATTTCCACTGCTGTGAAGCAAAACCAGCCCCATGGTCCGGGACCCTCCCCCTGGGCACATGCCTCCTCCGCGCCCCCCTTCCCTGGACCTGGGGACTGACTGCTCAGTCTGGTGCCCCTCCCAGGCCTCGCACTGTAGCTTGTCCCTCCTCTGATGCTGTGCCACCTGCCTAGAGGACCAGCTAACCCGGGCTCTGTTGTGACCCAGGACAGCTTTCCCACCTCGATCCTCAGCTCGTTTCCTCTCTATCCCCGTGGACACATCATCCTTGTCCTCTTGCTCTCTTCAGGCGCTGGGCTGCCAGCAGGGGTGGCAGGGGTACCAATCCCTCAGGGCCTGCCTTTCCTCCCACTGCCCCTGAGCCCCACAGAAGGCCTAGTGCCCCTGGGAAGCCAGACACTGAGGCCCCGGGGCCCTCGACTTCCCTCTCCCCTCTGAGTACACCACTTGCCCGGCTAGCCGGTTCCCTCTCCTCCCTCCCTTCCTTTGTGCTGGGTCCCAAGGGAGGCAGAGCTCCAGGCACCCCTTCCCACCCATCCAGCAGCCCCGAGGCAGCCTCGGGCCGGCCAATTTGCTTTACACCGCCTGCCTCTAAATTATTTCCTCAAAGCAAAACTAAACAAGCCAACACCACCCTCTGCACAGGCCACCCCCCGAGGGACACGGTCACCGGACATTTCCTCCAGAGCTCTGGGGGGCTGTGGCGGACCCCGGGGTGGATGTCCAGGATGAGGCCCTGGAGCAGGCCCTCAGCCTTCCTGCTTAGCGACGCGGGCTCAACTTGCTGACTCTGCCAGGGCCTTGGGGTCCTGTCAAGCAGGCCCTCAGAGGATGTGCAGATGGAGGTGACCTGCCACAAAGGAAGCATGCTTGGGGACACTAAGATGCCAGTGCACAGACACTGGGGCATGTCCCAGCTTTAGGAGATTTGCAGATGACCTGTGAATGATGCAGCGACTAGGGATGGTGGTCACGGCCCTTGGGGGAGGGACAAGGCTCACATGGACACCATGTGGCCTGCCAGCCCGCACCGCCTTGCACCTCCCATGGGGGCTGCAGGCAGGCCCGCTGCTCTCTATCCTGCCCGTATCTGCGAAGCTGGTTCTTGTGTCTCCTCTCTGCACTGGGGACACGGCCTGGCCCTGGCCCGCCCTGAGCATGAGGCCTCAGGCCAGTCTCTTAACCTACTTGGCCTCTGCCTCCCCTCTGTGAAATGGGACAGAAAGAGGACCTACTGTTTAGCACCTGTCATGGGTTGAATTGTGTCCCCACAAAAGAAACACTGAAGTCCTAACCCACAGAGGCTCAGAACGTGACCTTATTAGGATCTTTGCAGGTGAAAGATGAGGTCATGCTGGAGCAGAGTGGGCCCCACATCCACTAGGACTGGCGCCCTTACAAGAGGAGGAGAACAGACACAGATCGACAGGGGGTGCCACGTGAAGACACTGACACACAGGAGGACACCATGTGACGACGAAGGCCACACTGGATTGACGTGTCTAAAGGCCACAGAACACTAAGGACTGCTGGCGACACCAGAAGCTAACAGACTTTTCTCAATGGCCTTTGTTAAGAGAGCACTGCTCTGCTGACACCTTGGTGTCTGACCTCCGGCCTCCAGAACTGTGAGACCACACATTTCTGTTGTTCGAAGCCACTTGGTCAGTGGTGCTCTGTTACGGTCGCCCTGGGAGACCAAGAGAGGGATTTACAGAGGGAACACATTGACACAGGGCAGGACATGTCGGGTAGACGGCCTCCAGGGTCAAGGGCAGCACGCAGCAGACACTAAGCCCCTCACTCCCGTCCTGTGCCGCCCCCTCCTGGCAGGTGCACGGCCTACCTGCTGCCCAGGAAACCCATCGCCAGCTCGGCCAGCTCGCCTTCCACCTCCTCCTGCCTCAGCACTGTCCCTGGCACCTTCCACGGCAGAGGGCTGTCTGGGCTCAGTGGGGCTGGAAAGTCGCAGAGGAGCATGTCCAGGAAGCCCAGTGTCTCCTCTGCCATCTGGCTGCTCTCCTGTAGGGCTCCAGAGGCCATGCCCAGAGCATCCCGGGGGGCCTGCCGCCAGGGTTCCAGTTAGTCTTCACCCTGGGGAGAGATGGGAGGTCAGCAAAACCATGGGTGATCAGCGCCCTGCTCTTGGGGTACTTGGGTGTTCACCCTGCAGTGCTGAGTGCACGATGCCTTGCTTTCTCTGCTTTACCTCCAGCCATCACTCTGCAGGTGCCGCATGAAGCCTGGGGCCTCACAGCCGAAGGGCAGGGCCATCTGGCCTCATGCAGTTCAGGGGCCCAAGTAAGCAGGAGCGACAACTCTGGCCCATGTCCTAATGCAGAGGGAATGCTCAGGAGCCAAGGGAAGCGGCTCCAGGGGATGGAGCCAGGAGCAGAGGCAGCATGGACGTCTTGAAGAAGTGACAAAGAAGGAGTGTTCCTGGCAGAGGGTGGCCAGTGTGAACAAAAGGGGGCAGGAGAGGGACCCAGAGCCAGGCCACTGAGGCAGGTGAACACGGCAGGTGACCTGGGCAGCTAGGAGGTGAGGAAGTGATGTGAGCCTGGAAGTGGTACTCAGAGGGAAGAAGGAAGGAAGAGAAGGGCCAGGCTGGGCTGGTGACAGGGTCACCATGCAGCAGAGGGCCAGGCTGGGCTGTTATAGAGATGGAGAAGGGGAGCAGGAAGGGCTCCCCAGAGGCCTTCCCAGGGCGCCAGTGGGAGAGAAGCTGAGGGTTAACCCAGGATGGTCGGGGAGGTGGAGTGGCTCACACTTAGGACGGGGGAAGGCCTATTAAATCCTCTCCACAGGAGGAGTCCAACCAGCGTGAGCTGGAGGAGAGGTGCTGTGGACAGCCCAGAGCCTGACCCACTGCCCTGGGTACCAGCTCCCACCTCGAGGGCTCCTTTTTTTTTTTTTGAGGAAGATTAGCCCTGAGCTAACATCCGCCACCAATCCTCTTTTTTTTTTTGAGGAAGATTAGCCCTGAGCTAACTGCTGCCAATCCTCCTCTTTTTGCTGAGGAAGACTGGCCCTGAACTAACATCCATGCCCATCTTCCTCTACTTCATATGCGGGATGCCTACCACAGCATGGCATGCCAAGCGGTGCCATGTCCGTACCCGGGATCCAAACCAGCGAACCCTGGGCCACCAAAGCAGAATGTGTGGACTTAACTGCTGTGGCACCAGTCCAGCCCCCAATCCTCCTCTTTTTAGTGAGGAAGACTGGTCCTGAGCTAACATCCATGCTCATCTTCTTCTACTTTATATGTGGGATGCCTAACACAGCATGGCTTGATAAGCGGCGCCAAGTCTGCACGTGGGATCCGAACCAGCGAACCCTGGGCCACCAAAGCAGAACATGCGAACTCAATTGCTGCGCCACAGGGCTGGCCCCCCTTGAGGGCTCTTTCTCCCTACATCCATAGGAAGGCTGAGGGCTTACTGGCTGCCAGGCCCTGTGCACTGCCACAACACCCCTGGGAGCCAGGACAAGCTCTCATTTCACAGATGGGAACACTGAGGCCTGGAGGGGGTAGCCCATCACCTGAAAATGGATGATGGTGTCCAGGAGGGATTCTGGAGCCCAAGCTCGTCACCACCCTACCTCACTCCTACCACACAAGGGCCTCACGCACCCACGGCTCCTGCCCCACCCTCCTCCCCAAGGTGGACCTCCAGCTCCTCAACCCTAGCTCAGGACTGCTGATGCACTGCCAGCCCACCCTCTCCACCTCACACCTGCCCCCCTTTCTCCCCAGCCTGCCCACTCCTGGGTTCATGTGCTAGGGAAGGCCCTGTCTGTCAGACACCCCGATAGCCCCGAGGGCCCACTTGGGCTCATGCCTCCCACTCACAGCCCTCCAGACCCAAATGATCCCAGAGTGTCTCCTTTCCATCATCCCTCCCACCCCACCCTCCCCTATTCACTCTTGGGGGGCTGCGGTCCAGCCCTCTCCAGGCCCTACGTCCCTGCCACCTGCTCAGCACAGGCCCTTCTCTCTCGCCCCTTCCTCTCCAGCTCTGCTGCTCCCCATGAGCCTTCCCAGGGCTGGGACACCCCCCCGGGCTTCGGTAACATTCGGGCTGGGGAACTTGCTCCTGGAACGGATCCCGTAACTTGGCCCCCAGGGAAACAAGCAGCCTTTGTTCCAGTAACAAGTTGACTTGAGAGTCCCAGCAGCACCCAAAGTCTAGGAGGAGAATTTGGGGAGCAGTCTCATAACCCGTCCCCTTCCTGAGGCCTTCCAGGTTCTGACAAGTGAATGGAAAGGCAGGACCACAGGAAAGAATCTTCCAGAATCACGAGTCTTAGAATATCTGCAGACCATGCCTCCAAACTTGGCCAAGGGCAGCTGTGGTCAGGGGTCTGAAGTTGGACGATGAAGGCAGTTCTGCCCGCTGAAGAACACAGTAGGGGAGGGGCGTCCTTGTCTAGAACTAACTTAGCAAGGCTTCTGGAAGAACAGAGAAAAACCACAGGGAGAGCATGAGGGGGAGGGGATGGGGAAGTTAAAGTCTAATCAGTGGAGGATTCGGAGGCAAAGCAGGCAAGTTAAAAGCACAGAAAACCTCTCTCTCCTCTCAGACAAGAACTGAAAAGAGTTTTAGACACATGGAAATGATACGGAAATGGGGGCACTGTGATGGAAGGTTATGGGGACAGACTTAAATTCCTTGTTACCTTTCATGTTTACTCACAAGTAGAATAAATAAAATGTAGCCATGGTTGGAAAAGGCAAACAGGTAAAAAGAACAGAACAGAACAGAACAGAAAGGGAGACCGTCAGGCCGAGAGCAGGGGGACAGCTGTGCTCTAGCGATCAGGAAGGGCTGGGAGCCCCTGGGGCGGTGAGGGTCAGCTGGGGAGAAGGCCACTGGCCAGCCAGCGCCCACCCTCACCCCCGCACCCGCACACACCCCCGGCCAGCACTAGCGCTCAGCACCAGCGCCTGCCTGGCAGAGCTGCAGAGCTGAAGCCAACGAAAAACACGATGGCATGAATTTCCCAGCAGGCGTGGACGCCCCTGGGCAGAGAAAGAGGCCAAGCTACCTCTGCTTGTGGTCTGCTCTGGCCTCCGGCTGCTTGGGGGAGAGAAGTGTGAGTAATGCACAGCACAGTGGCCTCTAAGCAACAGCCATTGTCCCTGGGCTGAGAAATGCTGCCCAGCTCCATGCAATTCTGAGTCCAGAAACAAATACTCTACAGGCACTGAAATCTCCGGTGGCTCAAGGTACGCTCATGCAAGTGTCACATTAGGATCAAAACAAGATAACAGCATGCTCATTGACCTCTCCAGATGCACAGGAAGTCCCCAGTTTTAGAAGCTCTGGCCCACACTACAAAGCACAGAACTCAAGACCCTTTACCTTCGACCTCACTTGCCAGTGGTGGTGTGTGCCAGACATTTTAGAATGCAGGGGCCTCCTTCTTGCCTCCCAGCCTTGGGATGCTGTTTCCTGGGCCTGGAGCCCCCTCCCCTGGAGTCTGCCTCTTTCTCTAGGGGTTGGTGGCCCCTCCTCTAGGCACTGCAGACTCAGTCTTGGCCGTGCCCCTGCTCAGGAGGGGCTGTGGTTGTGTGCCCTGTGCCCAGGGTCCGGTGCGGGCCCCGGGGTGCCGCCTGCAACACATGTGCTGAGTGGGGCCAGTGGGGCAAGGCAGCAGGGGAGTGACTGCTTGTGTGTGGGCTCAGCCTGCGTCTGCCAGGGCACCGGCTGGCCTACTCTCAGCTCCTGCGCCAGCTGTCCGCTTGCTAGATGGGCAGGGGGCCTGGGGCATCCTGCATGCTGAGGAACCACCAGGCTTGTTTCTGCATCACCTGGCGGAGGCGAGGGCAGAGGAGAGGAGCCAGGACGCAGATTTCCTTCTCTGGGGTCCAGCTAGAGTAAGGGACAAGAGCAATTTCCTTCCTTTTCTCAACAAACTCGTGACTCTGATGTAGCCACACGGATATGAGCAAAACAATTCCTTCCTGGGGAGTCCGGTACCTAGAGATAAAGGAGGGGGGAGGAATTCCTAACGCAAAGGAGGACCCAGAGGCAGCCCTGGGAGTGACAGGAGGGGTGGGGAATAGTGCCCTGGCCCTGAGCTCTCACAGAACCAACTGGAGGGGACAGTCTCAGGAATGACACAGTGGCCAGCAGGCAGGCAGCAGGACAAGGGGGTTGGGGATGAGGTGGAGCCGGGCCTGGTGCAGGGGGTGCTAATTGGGGAGGATGGTGAGAGGCTCAGGGGGGAGGGACTGGTGTGTAAGTCTGTGCAAGTCACCAAGGGCCTGGGGTGGGCATAGGAGAGACACTGGGTCCCAAACCCCCACTGCCACCTGCCTTGACCGGTCTGGCCAAATGTGGCCTGTGGCTGGGTCTTCCCGGCTCCTAGAACGATGTCCCTCTGCGCTGCTCACCAGCAGGCAGCCACTGTGGCAGGAATAACGGCTGCCAGGGGCCCCCGGGTGTTATCACCCTTCCTGGATCACCTCTTCTCACCTCCCAACAACCTGTTATTATCCTCACTTTACAGGTGGGGGCTGTGGCATTCAGGCCAAGCAACTTGCCAAAAGTCCCCACTAGAGTCTGACTGCAGGGCCTGGCTCCTAACTGCCACAGAAACCCCGCCCACCCCTCATGGGTCACCAGCCCTGGGATGTGGTCTCTCTCCCGGCCCCTCTTTCATTTATGTGTCCCCTGTTCTGGCGCAGCCTCTTGCCTCCGCGCTCCTGTGCCTTGCCTGTGGCATTCCATTTTGCCCTGAGACCTCTCTGATCCGAGCTCTGCTGAAATCCACCACACCTCTGTGGGCCAGCAGGTGGCTTCCGTGGCTCTAGAGAGCTTCTGCTTGCACCTGACTGGTAAAGAGCCCATTCTTTTCTTTCCATTTAAAATATTTATTTTCCTGTAGTTTACCAGTTTTGACTCAAAAGCTCAACTAATGCATATTTGTACAACTGCATTTTTCTAGGTGGCGTGGGCAAAATACTTATTGAGTCCTGCTTGACTTCAGAAGCTGAGTGCAGAAGAAAACAGCAATCCTTAGAAAAGGAAACTGTATCACTGTCACCAAGTATTATACTCATTGTTAAGTTTTTCTACAAATGGAGGATATTGTTTCTTTGTTTACAAATAATCACTGGAAAGAGTTTGGTGTAAACCCTTCCAGATCTTTTCCTACGTAGATTTTCTTTCTTTTAAAAAAATTTATGGTGAAATATACATAACATACAATTTATCATTCCATCCATTTTTCAGTGTGCAGTTCTGTGGCAGTAAGCACATGCACATTGCTGTGCAACCACCACTTTTTACAAGCTTGACTTTCTCACCAGATTATAAGCTTCCTGAGGTCAGGGGGCCCACCCCTGTCCTCTGCACGTGGCAGCTGGCAAGCATGATGGCCGAGGGAAGGGTCGGCTTCCTTCCTCCACCACCAGTGGGTGGTGTGGGCTGAGACCAGCAGCCTGAGGCCTGGCACCTTCTAAGAGGAAGCTGACAGCCTGTGGGACATGGTGGGCAGCACAGAAAGGTTTCACAGACAGGGCTGGCGTCAGGCAATATCTCAAAGGAATTCTACAAATGAACTTGTGGGGAGCTTCACAGCTTTCAAATGCTGTTCGAAGCAGTCTTCATTTTGTTTACCTCTCACAACTATGCTGACCTACGTGCGCCGTCAGTCACACTGCAGGCAAAGAAATGGGCTGCGGGGTGGTAAATAACACACCTAAGGTCGCACATGTAGGAAATGGCAAAGCTGGACTCGAACGGGGTCTTCTGATGCCTTTGTCATTTCCACCTCAGTTGCAGGAGGAAAAGAGTGAAATCTGACAATAGGCCGGATGTGGGCATAAAGGCCAGAAATGAGCCAGAGATGACCTCAGAGTGTGGCCTCACATTCTGTCCCCCCCGCCCTCCCGGCGGGAGCACAGCTCGGCCCACAGAACTTGCCCCAGAGAACTCCATGAGGACACATGTCACTCAGAACACATGTCCAGCTGAGTGGAAGGCTGCAGGAGAGGAGTCCATCACTATGGACCAGGTGTCACCACGTGTTAGCCTCTGCATTAAAATCCCTACAATCAGGTGCCATTTCTCCCTTTTGCACAGAGAGGTTAAGGGGCTTGCCTGAGGTTGCAAAGCTGCAGGTGTGGAGCCCATGCGCCCCTGCCTGAGGTTGTCTCTCACACACGCCGGGCTAAAGCAGCTGCAGCCCACGCACTGCCTTTAACTAAAACACTTACCTTAGACACACTCCGGGGAGGGTCAGGAGTGGGGACTATGGGGTCCAGCAAGAGTGCAGGGGCTGGTGGGGCAGGGGTCAGGGTGGTGGGTCAGGCCCAAATGCTCCTGGGGGGTGGGGTGGAAGGAGCCGGTCCGGGCAAAAGGGGGGCACGTCACCCCTCTGCACCCCATTTTGCCTCACGACCCTCGGCCCCCACCTGGTCTTCGGCTCGGCCACATCCCCGCCGGCCCCCCGGTTCTGCACCCTTGGCTCCCCAGGCCCCCAGCTCCCCACCTAGGGCTCCTCGGGTGCCCGCCGCTCGCCCCGCTCTTCAGCTCCCCACTCGGCCCCGGAGCCCCGTGGTCCGCTCATCTCGGCCTCCCGGCCTCCGCAGCCCCCTTCCGCCCTCCCCGGCTCCTCAGCACCCCGGTCCTGCACCCGGGCCCCCCACCCCCGGCCCCGCGGGCCTCACCTGCCACTCGGCGGCTCCGCGCCCAGCTCGCTGCTCTGGCCGGCCCCGCCCACTTCCCGTCCCTGGCCGCGGCGGGCGCGGCGCAGGCGCAGTGGAGCCCCGGGCGGGCGGGGCCGGGCCTCTGCTGCCCCCTGGCGGTCTCCCGGCCTGTGACTGAGGCCCTTTCGTTTCAGGTGAAGCGATGCGCTCCACCTGGAGGGTCGCCGTGGGCACGCGGCCCACATGCCCGGCTCTGCAGGCAAGCCGCTCACTGGCGAGTTGCTTCACTTCTCAAGCCTTGGGTGGGTGAGTAGATGCGGGAAAGCGATCCCAACTCACAGCGCCTAGAAATTAAGCAACTTGTGCAGTCAACAGCTGGTAAGTGGCAGAGCAGGGATGCAAACCCAGACTGCCCAGGGCCGGCCATCCATCAGGCAAGCAGGCACAAGGCCTGGGGCTGACCATATTATTAGGGGTTGTGTTGGTTTCCTCTCGCTGCTATGACAAATTACCACAAACTTACACAAATTTATTATTTAGAGTTCTGGAGGACAGAAGTCCACAAGGTCCCAAAGGAAGTGCAGGGTGTCAGCAGGATGTGTTCATTTCTTGGGGCTCCAGGAGGACTGATTCTCTTGCCCCATCAGCTTCTAAAGACTGCCCATTCCGGGCTGATGCCTCTTCCGTTTTCCAACAAGTCCCCCTCCTGCTGCCATCTCTCCGGTTCCCTCCTCTGATTCCCTGTTCCATTTTTAAAGACCCTTGTGATGACGTTGGGCCCCTCAGATGGTCCAGGATAATCTCCCTATTTTAAAGTCAGATGATGAGCAACCTTACTTCCATCTGCAGCCCTGAGTCCCCTTTACCACACAATCTAACATCCGCACAGTTTCCAGGAATGAGGACGTGGACATCTTTGGGGGGCCATTTTTCTGCCACCATAGTGGCCCACGAAGATGTTTTCTTTTAAAGCCAGAAGAAATAAGTGAACTTTTAAGTCAAAGAAAATGTTTTCGTATATAATATTAATATATTCATTTTATATCAATGCGGTTGTAAGGTATAATTTAAAAAAATTTGATGGAGGAAGGGCCTTCAAAAGTCCTGCTGCAGCCCTGCCCACCTGACCTTCAGGTCCCCGCGTCAGCCTGTGTTCTTCCCAGGAATGAAGGTCTCTGGGATGGTTCTCTAACAGGAGGGTTGTGGTGAGCCAGGAAGCTGGAGAACTGGCGTTTGGCTGATATGAAAGGAAACCATCTGGGGTGGGGGTGGGTCTGGAAGGCAGGGTGTCTGGGCAGAGAAAGTGGGGGAGGGGTGCCTCATCCCACTCTCCTACTCATGCCTTCCTAGATCCTGGCACCCTCTGTCCATGCGGTGACCTCGAACAGGGCTTGAGCTTACTTCTTATAACATGTGACATTGGAAGTGTTCCTTAGCCTCAGTTTCTTACCAGAAAAATGGGGACGATAGCAACCAACCTATCTCATGAGGCTGTTGTGAGTCCCTGTATCAGTGTTTCTCAAAGTGTGCCCAGGACTACCTGCAATCAGAATGACTGTGGGGTGAAGTTTGAGAACCATAGTGCAGGTGAGGTGGTGGTGCATGGGACAGGACCTCCCACACTGTAAAGAGGGGTGCCCATGAACGCTGACATACCTGCAGACCTCCTCAGCTGGGGCCCACATTAGACTCTTTGGAGCACTGATTCCATTCGAGATCGGCAGCTTAGAGATGATGGCAAATCGAGGCACTGCCGCTTAGCCAGGAGCTTGCCCCTACAGGCGCTGGGCCAAGGACATGCCTGTGAGATTACTCGTGCCCCGTGACTTCTGTCAACCCCTCCCTGTCTGCATTCCATCACGCCTCGGCTCCTGGCTCTTGCCTTTCACCCTTGTGAAAGGAATCTTTCAATGTCACCCACCCCACCCAGCCACTGAGTTCCAGCTTCTCTGCTTCTCTCACAAGGCTGCACCCCTGGCGAGGTGAGCAGAGTACAGGGCTCCCAAAGCACTCTGCCTGGGTTTTCCTACTGCCTCTATCCCCTCTGACTGAACTCTCTCCCGGTCCCCAAACGTCCCCTATTCTGGAACCCCACCCTGAGCCCTCTGCTCCCCCCACAACAACCTCATGCGTCTGCAGGTGGTTTCACACAATCCTGGAATCGTAGAGATGGGATATTTTACTCTTGGGCTTTCAAACTATCAGTGATGCTGTGACCTTGGGAGGGAAGTGCAACTCTCTCACCCCTGACTTTCCAGGGCACTTGCAATGGGACTTCTGCCTGGCTTCCTGTCTACAGCAGTGCTGCCTTCTAAAAAGGGGTCCTCGGATCCCCCTTGGCTGCTGGTGTCTTCAGGTCTTCGAGGGCCTGCCCCATGGTGGGTGAGGGGGAGGAGGTTCCTGTCCACAGGTCTGTGGTGTCTTCTGTCTAGTAGCCTGGAAGGGGTGCTACACTCATCTGAACAAACACACTGGGGCATCCAGTGTCAGCATGTGCCAGGGTCTCCAGGTGACAGGGCAACGGTCTTTGTTCAGCCAATTCAGCTGGACAACCAGGCCCCACTGCTTTGCCCTGTGCAAAGGCCCGGTCTGCGGGGGTTCTGCCCTGTGCCCCCCTCACAGCAGGCTGGCCTGTAGCCACTGACCTCCCCGGCCCCAAGCACAGAAGGTACAGTCCCAAGGAGCACAAGTGGCAGTTCTGGCCTAAGGCGGGCCTCATCTCCTTGTCCTCTTTGCTCCTGCAGCCATGTTAGAAACAACAGTTGTGCTGGATGGGATGAGGTGAAGGGACCCAGAGTGCAGAGTCCAGACTCTTGCACAAAGGACAACTGCAGAGAAAAATAGGTGAACCCTTTATGACTGCCCTGCTTGTGGCTGAACCTCAGTGCAGAATCCTGGGAAGGAAGGAATGGGGGGGGCAGGGTTAAGGCCTCAGGTGCAGCCTGCCCCTCTAAGCCTAAACCAGCCCTCTCCCCTGCTGCCTCATTGGAGGGGTTCTACAGCAGAAGGGGGCCCTGTGGAGAGAAGGCCCTGGGTCTGCTCACTATGGGCCACATGGGTGGCAGAGCAGTCACAGTCATGTGCCAGGGACCCTATGCACTAGCAGATGTGGCCTGTGAGTGCCCCACAATCCGACCAGAGCAGGTGGGGAGGGGAAGCCGCACAAACCTCTGAGTGCCCCTGCCCTGTGACACCATCCTGGGAGCCTACCCTCAGGGGCCTTGTTGAAGTGACACCTCTCCATCTCACTGCACATTTTCTTTGAGCTTCTAGAGTAGTTTCCCAAACCGTATTCCCAGGAACACTAGGGTTGGCTTGCTGGGACTCCAGGAAGGAGCCCGGGGAGTACAGCACCTGCATGGAAGGCTGGGTGAAGGCACAGGTTTATTTACAGAAGCTCTTCTCAGGGCCTTTTATCTTCTAGTGTGAACTGTGAACCTACTACCAAGAGTCTACTATCCCTTGCAAATGTGTACAAAACATTTCTGATCTGCTTCTTGCACAAGTGTTCCACCCAAAGCTTGGAAAGCTGTTTTACTGAGCTCTTGCTGCCTCCCAGGCATGGCGGGGGGTGGGGCTTTCCAGCGCGTCATGGACGTGTGATTGCCTAATGCAGGTGCTCCTTCTTGGGGGCCAGACCGTGGACACGGAAAGGACAGCAGGTGGCACACAAGGCAGTGGCTGATGGGGTATTTTCTAAACCTGGCATGTAAATGGCTTCAGTGGCTATCCTGTGGCTCACCATGGGCCCCCACCCGGCTCCTTCCTATAAGTTACTGGCCTGCCTCTGTCTGAGACAATAAGGGCTCGTTCCAGATCAGAAATAGGAACAGGTCCCAGGAAGCTGCCAGGGTCACATGCACACACCACACACAGACCTGCTCAGAGCCACTTAGTGGGGAGTATGGGGTCTGACCCCGAGCAGTGGGCTGGAGTGAAGGCCAAGGTCCAGAGAGGACTTCTCCCAGCCCCGCCTCCTCCACTGGGTCTCCCTCCTGACATCTGTCAGGGGTGACTGGCGGTTGGTGCCCTCGTTCCTCATGGGCGCCAGGGCCACCTCCTCCTCATGCACACAGCTGCTGTGCTGTGTCTCCCATGTACTGGAATGTGACGTAAGCCGTGGACTGGGTGTGCTCCGTTTCCATACTTGGGGGCCTCCCTGCAGGCACCGCCAGGGTGTGGACAGAGCAGGCATCTAGGAGGTGTGTGCAGAGTGGAAGGAGAGGTGGGGCACAGGGACGGGGTGGGCAGGACACCATAACCCTCTGACACCAGCAAAAGGTCTCAAGCTGCTTGTTCTGGAGAAGATGTGTTTTAATGATTTCTGTTGCCCCAAGGATAGCCATCTGGAGCCTGGGGAAGGGTCGGCGGGCCGTCATACGAAGTAGGCGGCCAGGGCTGACATCTTGTCCTTTGGCCGCCTGGCACTGGGCTTCCCTGTGGGTCTCCGGCCCCGGGCCCGCCCTCGGCCCTGCCTCCTCCCTGGCCCACCGCGGTGCATGGGGTGACAGGAGGCTGCATGCTTCAGCTCCACCAGCTCCTGGAAGATGGGGTCGCAGAAAACACAGCCCGTGTGCTGCGTCTCATCACCTGGGAGTGGGGACTTGGCCTTGTTGAAGTCCACGTCGAGCAGGGCAGCCTCGCAGGCGCTGCAGGTGTCGGCGGACACCCGCACGCGGTGGGCGTTCTCGAAGCAGTGTGCTACCACGTTGCACTTGTTGCAGGCCACCTTCCACTTGGGGCCTGAGGTGGGGTCCAGCACCAACACCCCACTCTCACACTCCACGCACTGGCCAATGCCCAGCATGCTCAGCGAGTGCTGGCAGGTGGGGTGCGTGCACTCGTTGCAGCCCATGCCTGGTGGGGAGAGGGCGGCCCATGCTGCACACCTGCACGCCTACCCCGGGCTGCAGCCCCGCCCTGGCCCTGGGCCTTCTCTCAGGGCCTCACACTCCAGGATCCCTCGTCCCAGCAGAAAGTGCTTCTCTTGGCCTTGGGCACACTGGCCCTTCTCTGCTTATCTAAAACCTCCTGAACCTTTGAGGACCCCTCCTCCTGGGCTAAGGTCATTTCCAGAAGGCCGTCCTGGTGGCCTCTCACTGATTCTATCCACCGTTTACTTTGTTTCCACAGCTTGTTACTGGCAGCTCCACTTGGCCCTCATGTCACCGGGCCACCTGGAGCCATCGGCTGCCCTGGAAGCTGTGGAGGGCAGGGATGGTCCTCACTGCCCCCGGCAGCCCAGATGCAGACTGTGCCTGCCCCATAGGTGAGGCTTGAGTCAGGAAGGGTAGACTGAGACCCACCCCCCGCCGAGGGCTCCCCGGCCCTCTGGTGAACGTGGGTGGGTGCCTCACTCTTGCTGCACCCTTTTCTTGTCTGTCTTGTGCGGGGTGTACAGGAGACAGCCCAGCAGAGGGTGAGTTTGCTGGGTCCTGAGCCCCCTTCAGACTCCCGGCTTGGAGCTCTTGGGTCCACCTGGATACGTGCTCTCCTTTCTCCAGTAAAAGCACGAGGACAGAGAACCCCAGTGGACGCTGCCCGAGGGCATGCCCCTCTCCAGGTGGGACCCCCTCACCTGCCGCATCCTTTTTCACTCACCCCAGCCCAGGAGGGGGCACAGCATGCACACTGCCCAGATCCCAACTGTAGTCGCCTATCCAGTTAGGACTTGGATGGAGAGCAGCAGACAAGCTGGCTGATGCCTGAGCAGTGCCACGTACTCCCCGGGGTCTCCCATCCCGGTGCCAGTGAGCATAGGAAGGGCTGGGGGAGCGATCCCCTCAGAGTCCAGCATGGTGCAAGGCAGGGGCTGACGCTGAACAGAGACCACAGGTATGGGGAGATGGGGGCAGCCCGGGAGGGAGGGAATGGCCGAGGCCCGGGGATGCAGCGCTCACCTTTCTTCATGTCTCGGAAGGGCGGGTGGTTGGAGCAATAGGGACACAGAGGGTAGCTCTTGCCCCGGGAGCCCGATGACCATAGGACCAGCTCAAAGTCGTCCAGCGGGCACCGGAGCTCCTTATAGAGTTTGATGGTGCCGTTCTGGGGGAGGGTGTAGGTCTCGTCGCAGTGGGAGCAATGCAGGCGGCTTGGCTTGGCCTGCAGCAATGCCAGGCGGGAGGCATGGGGTTGCTGAGGCCACCCAGCTCTCCCGCCCGCTTCAGTCTCATCACACAGAACATGTATGTAATGTGTAATATGTAGCACATGATATATAATACGTAATACAGAATATGTAACACATGATACATAATACATAATGTACATGTTATGTAATACATAATGGGTTATATAATACCTAATGCATTATATACATAATGTAATACATTATGTTCACATAATACATAATTATGTAATACATAATGTATAACACAATAAACACTGTGTAATACATAACGCATGATACTAATACATAATATGTAATACATATGTATATAACACAGAATACATACATATGTAATACAGGATGCGTAACGTAACACCTAATGTGTGATACATAACATGATACCGAATACATAATAGGTGGTACATAAAACAGGTTCTGTAATATGTACCCTGTAATACATAATCTGTAATACATTGCCAGGTAAGGGCCCCTCAGGCAGGGATCCCTGGCCATGAGTCTGAGGACACTCGCTCCAGGTATGAAGAAAGGCAGTTCTAACTTCCCTGTACCTATATATTAACACTCATGATAGCAAGTGATGTGTTGTGAGGGAAAAACGGACAATGTGTGTTTAAGTGCCTAAAAGCTTATATGTTCCTGGGGTCATGGGGAAACAGTGGGTGTTTGTTGGCAAGGCTGCTTTAGGCCTCCCAATCATTCTTATGTGACAATAGGACAAAGAATGTTATTCCTATATGATTGAAGATAAAGTGGAGGCCTACAGATGACAAGACTTGCCCACATCTGTGCACAGGGCACTGCAGGCCAGAAGGGGCGGTCACAGCCCTTTATCCCCTCACCTACCTGGATGTACTTCATGAACCGGTGGCACTTCCCGCAGCGGGAGAGCGGCTTGCCTGTGGCCGCCAGGGGTGAAAAAGACACCTCCATCAACTCATCCATGCCTGAAAGCGAGCAGTGCAGGCGAGAGTCATATCCTCCCGGCCCCGGCAGCCCGCCTCTCTGGTAAGTGGATGGTGTAACTGGGCGAGCTGGAGGGAAGGCCACCACATGCAGTCGAGGATCTGTAGTGTACGTCCCCGGCCTCGAGGGTGGTGGGGTTTCTATGGCAGTAATGGAAATGGCAGAGCTGCAGACCAATTTGTCAGACGAGCGTGTGCCCTGCATGTGGTGTTACTACACCTGCTGTTCAATCCCAACACTGGCCCAGGGATGAGCCCTCATCACCCCATCCTCCACACGGAGGCCTAGAGCCCGGAGTCCAGCTGTGGGCCAGGCGGCCCTGACCCAGGGTCCTCTGGTTCAGGGGTAGACCTTACCGGCGATGGAGTCCACGAAGTAGTGGAACTTCCTCTTGAAGACGTCCAGGGTGTGGCCCAGGACCTGGCGGTAGTCGGCCTTGCCCTGGGCGATCAGGTTCAACTGCTTCTCCACTGCGCTCCGGATGGTGGGGAGCACCAGCTCTGCGTCTGTGGGTTGAGTGACACTGCTGTGAGCACTCGCACCTGAGGGGCCATGGTCGGCCCCTGCCCCCAGCTCCTGCTGGAGTCGGAAGGCACCAGGCTGGTTCCCATGCCCCCAGGCCTTTCCTGATCGCCCACCCAGAAAATCCTGTGGGGAGTGGAGGGACATCCTGCCTCTGGAACTGCCTCACAGATGTGCTCCTGGCAGTCCTCAGGCCAGGTCTTTGCTCCGCCATCTCCCACAGGCTCCTCAGAATCCCTCAAGGACAGAGCAAACAGCACCTCAGTGAGGACCCCAGGCCTGGCTGGGAGCTAGTCTGCGAGGAAGAGCCCCTCGCCTCCCCTTTTGGATCCTCCGCCCTTGTCCATTCATCCAGCAGCCACACTGAGCCCCTGCCGGGACAGGTCCAGGGGTGGCCGGTGCAGCACCTTGTGGTGGGAGCTGCGGCTCGCTGCATAGCCATGACCTGTAGGGGTAGGCTCCGAGCTGACAGAGGCAGAGCCACAGCGCAGGGAGAAGCCAGCAAGGCTGGCCAGGCGGCCTCACCGATCTTGTAGTAGCCGTGCACCAGGACGATACCCAGGTTGGTGGGCTTGAGCCGGCGCCCGCTCTCCACGACGACGTAATTGCGCTGGCAGATGTTGTTGATGTGCACAGGGATGCTGGCATCTGTCCCTGAAATGCACAGCAAGGCCCTGCTGTTCCTCAGCCTGCCCTGACACTCCCCGTTGGACTGTGGGCTCCCCTCAGCCCCACCCATCATGGGGCCTGGCTCTCAGCCCCTCCCCTGCTGCCTCCCACCAGCACCGTACTGGGCACCATACCACGTGCTTTTCATGCACTGTCTTGTGAACCCGAGGGTGGCCCTCCCAGTGCCAGGTGCTTATTCCCGCTGTACTGAAGTGAACAGTTTCAGAAAGGTTATGGAACACTGTAAGGTCACAGAGCTCGTTCTGCTTGCCCATCACATCAGGTAAATGTGACCTCCTTGGCCTCTCCTGCCTGGATCCTGCAGCCCCTGCCCCCATCTGGAGCCAGGGCCCAGCTGCCTGAACATGGAGGAGCTTACCCACTCACTGCCAAATTGTCCCTTCTGGAACCTGCCCAGTTTTGCCCACTTTCTGGCTTCTGGGTCCCTGTTGATCAGTCTCCAGGGCAGGCTCCCAGTTCCAGGACATTCCTCCCCTAGGGACTTCAAGGTCACCTGGCACTGCCAGATGCTGCCAGCACTGCTCAGGAGGAGGCTCCTGAGCTGGTGCTCAGAAGCTAAGGAGCCCGCCGAGGCCCCAGGCTCGCAGGATGAGGCTGGGGTTGGGATCTGAAGCTCATGTGGGGGCTCTGAGCGGGGATGCACCTGCTGCTACCTGGGGCCGCCGGGCTCAGGAGGCTCTGCAGCATGCTCCCTGCTGCACTCTCACCACAGCTTGGGGGGTGGTTCTCATCAGGCCCTTTTTATGCAGCCTAGGGGGCCACAGTTGACAGGGCTGCCCTGGACCCATCTATTTCAGAAAGTCCCAAGAGCCCTCTTCACTGTCACGAATTTGTTTTGGTCATGGGGTCTGGGCTGCTGTCTAGTCTATGGATACCAGAAGCCACAGATGTGCCATCAACGAGAAGGAGCAGAGGACTCTGGGGGAGCAGTGCCTGCACCCCCTAGCAGACTGAGGACCACCAAGGCAGGATGTATCAGGCACCCAGGGCCTTGGAAGAAGCAGGCCCAGCTCTCCTGCTGAGGCCACCACTGTCACCAGGACTGCAGACTCAGGTGAGATGCTCCCTGGCAGTCACCAGAAGGCCTGTTAGTGATGGAGCAGGGCCCAGGTACAGCAGCCCGGATTGTCCCATGGCCCTCCAGAGCCTGTCAACCAGGAGGGGCCTGGTCAGTGGGGCAGCGGATCAGGGAGTAGGCAGTGCCCATTGGAGTGAGCATTGCCTACGGAGAAGGCTCCAGCAGCGAGGACGGCCCAAGGGTGTGAGGACACAAGTCACAGGCCTAGGCTGGGGCACGGGGCAAGACCACCATGCCTGTGATGAGCGTGCATCAGCGACTACACTTCTGAGCTGGCAAACTGCCCTGGGCCTCCCATTCCCACTCGGAAACATTTTGGTTGCCATGCAGGAGCTCTGTGGCCTGTGGTGGGCATCTCTGTGCCCCTCACAGTGAGGGCGGCGCCCCAGAGAGTTTGGTTTCTGCGTCATCTGATTCCAGGACAGACCCAGGCTGGCTGTGTAGACTCAGGAGGAGTCTGATCTGACTTTTGTGTTTTCCTTTAGATGAATCCTGGGCCAACACTCAGCCCTGTGGGTGTTAGTCAGTGCACAGGCTGGGGCATCTTGGCTTTTACAGGCAAGGCCAGGTCCTGACGTGGAGCTTTGGCAAGGGGCTGCCCTCTGCCGCCCTGCCCGGCTCAGCTGGCCACACCCTGGGCTCAGTCACTAGGTGCTGGGTATGGAAGAGTCACCGGGCAACTCTGGAAGCACTGCCTCCCAGGCCCCAGTCCTGGGCTGGGAACCCTCAGGCCAGGGCCCCAGGCGGGCGGTGGGCGGGTGCACACACCAATGCCATGCTTCTCCATGAGTGTGATGAGCTCGGCCTCCGTCAGGTAGTCAGGTGGGCTTGTCTGCTTCTCCAGCATCTTCACCTCGCTCACAGCGAAGGTGTCGCCCCTCTGGCAGGTGGGAAGGCTCTCCTCCAGGGGCACGCTCTGCCAGGGCATGATCTCCGTGAAGCCTGGGGAGACAGGGCACCGTCTAGACCCTGGGCATCCCATCCCCAGGTCTGACGGAGAAGGTTCCGTCTGTCTGTGGAGATGCAGAGGAGCAGAGCTGGGACCTGCGGTTTTACCTGGTGAGATGACGGTCTTCCCTGTGCAGCAGAAGTGCTCAGGCCCGATCCTGAAGGAGATGCTGCTCTGGAGGTACTTGCAGTCATAGCTAACTGTGGCGATGAAGTGTCTGGTGATGTACTCGTAGAGCCGCCACGCCTCACTCCCTGCAGCAGGGACGGAAGCTGGTCACCGGCCAGGGCTCTGGCTCAAGCAGCAGGGCCACAGGATGCCAAGGCTGGCCTGCTCCAAAGCCCAAGACAGGAGGAAACACACAGGAAGGGAGGGAGAGTCTCTCGTGCCTGTGGCTCCTTTGCAGCCACGGCTCCCACCTCCTGCTCCTGCTTCCAGGTGGGACTGCTCTTCAGGTGCCTGGCCTGGCCCCAACTAGTGACATGCCACCATCACTTCAAACTGGGGCTGTGCACAAGTGGCACCTGTCTCCACCGCTTGCTTCTCCCCTCTGCTTTCTCCTGGCACACGGGCCACCAGCACCGCCTCGGTCAGGTGGGAAGTGCGGGGCACCCTGTGGTTGAGCCCGACACTGTCTCAGTCTCATCCCATTCCATCGTGGCCACCTGCCCACTCACCTCACCTTCCTGCCTCCTGCCTGGCCTTCTCTACTCCAGGGCTTCTTGAGAGCAGCTGCCTGCGCCCTGCACTCAGACACACCATCACACACCTGCCACCACCACCTCGCTCCTGTCCCATCCCATGGTGACAGAGCACAACTTGCAGGGGACTTCCTTCACCACAGCCAGGCAGGTGGGGCAGGAGGGAGCCTCCACATTGCCAGTGGGGGCTGACACCGTCCAAAGGTGCCACAGCGCTGGAGCTTCTTGCCCTTCCCTCCCTAGCAGCTTGAAGTGTGTGAGTGTGCGAGTGTTGGCGGAGCACCCGGTACCTAATTCGGCCTCTGTGGCAGACCTCATGGGGGTGATGGGGGGATGGTCACCAGCATCATGGCCTTTCCGTGGGCGGTTGATACCTTCTGCTAACAACCGCTTCACCTGAGGGAGAAGGAGCAGAGTGTGAGTCTGTGCACGGCTGCCCTCCCGCCCAGAGGGAGCCGCCGCCAGTCCTGGATTTGGCCCAAGTCCTGAGCTGGGGGCAGGGCCTGGCTCTGCTCACCGTGTCGGCCCAGGCTGGGTGGTTGGCCTGCTGCCGCAAAGGGCCCTTCAGGTCAAAGTTCTCGGGGTAGTGGGTGGTCTCAGTCCGTGGGTAGCTGATGTAGCCTTGAGTGTAGAGCCGCTCGGCGGTCTGCATGGCATGCTGCGGCCCCATGCCTGTGAGGGACAGGACATTCAGCTGGCCTGGAACACCAGGGACAGCCAGGCGCCTGCCATCGGGCCTGGGCCCTCAGGCTCCCCTAAAGGCGGACAGGGCCTCCTGGGAGGTGAGGTGGCTCTGAGCAGGCATGGCTCAGAGGAGGGCTGCTGGCCAGGTGCCTGTGTCCACACAGCCTTATCCAAGGCTGAGGTCCTCACCCTGTAAGGGTGGACCCAGGACAGGGATGCTCCACAGGGTCACCCTCATGATACTGGTAGCCACATTGATTAAATTTGGCCTTCAGAGCTCTTGTCTGTCACACTCTGGCCTGGAGCCATAACCACACCTCAGGGGCTGCTGATGTCCTGCTATGACAGCAGAATGAGCAGATGCCCAGTATTCTGAGTCCCTTGGGTTTCTGTCCTCACAGCACTCCAGGACCACTGAGGGAGGGCTCGTCCTCCTGCTCCTCCCTGACCAACACAGGCTGCTGTCAGCACTGACAGATAGCTGTCACTCAATGTCACTCCAAGGATCCCTGGAGGTGCTGCTCTGAGAGGACACTGCCCACAGTTTCCCAAGGCTGCAAAGAGGCCACCAGCACCTGGAGGCCGACAGCTGTCAGAGACCGCCAACTTTCCAGCCCAACCCCTTCTTGCTACTGTGGAAACCAGGCTTAGAGAGGCTATGTCACACTGTCACAGCTGTCCCCAGCAGATGGGACGGGCCTCGAGTGCACCCCCCATGCCTGGTTTCTCTACCAGGGGAGCTGCTCTGAGATGCTGTCAGGACGTCCGCTCAGGTGGTGGCAATCATTACCACTGCCTTCGTTAGGACGTGCTGCTTCAATCATTTAATCCCTATGACAACCCAGAGAGATGGGTACCATGGTCACCCTGTTTTCTCAAGAGGAAACTGAGGCTCTGGGACGAGGAAGGACGTGGCTGAGCTGGACGTGGACCAGAGTTTGGCTCCGGAGTTGGAACTCCACGGTTTAATGCCTCTGAGGGGACTTCACTGAGCCAAGGACATGTGAAGGCTGCCTTGCAGGTGGCCCTTGCCCCCACAGCCTTCCATGTGTTCAGGCCTGGCTGCAGCTGCTCAGCCATTTAGTAAGATAAAGTGGCCTGCATCCCCCCCCCCCAAGACATAAACTCAAAGCAGCTGTTAAGTATTAACCAACAATCCTATGAAATGGAATCCTCTCTCCTGTTTGTTACTTGTTTCCACTCTGGAACTTAAGAGAAATGAAATCTACATGAGGCTCAGATTACCTTTAAGCCTTGGGCAACACAGCAATGGGGAGGGTGTGCAGCACAGGAGAGCAAAGTGGGTGCTGGCACAGGTGAGCACAGAGAAGGGGTGCTGACACAGGTGAGTGGGGGTGTGGGGGTGCTGGCACAGGGGAACAGAGAGAGCAGGTGCATGGCACAGGTGAGCAGGGAGGGGGGCTACTGGCACAGGTGAGTGGGCAGGCGGGTACTGGCACAGGTGAGCACAGAGAAGGGGTGCTGGCACAACTGAGTGGGGAGAGAGGTGCTGGCACAGGTGAGCACAGAGAGGGGGTGCTGGCACAGGTGAGCACAGAGAAGGGATGCTGGCACAGCTGAGTGGGGAGGGGGTGCTGGCACAGGTGAGCAGAGAGGGGGTGCTGGCACAGGTGAGTACAGAGAAGGGGTACAAGGCATAGGTGAGCGGGGAGGGGGGTGCTGGCACAGGTGAGCACAGAGAAGGGGGGCATGGCACAGGTGAGCACAGAGATGGGGTGCATGGCACAGGTGAGCCGGGAGGGTGGTGCTGGCACAGGTGAGAGTGTCGGCACTGCCCTCCAGGCGCTGTGGCAGGGCTGAACTGGGTCGCCATGTGCCTGCCCCAAGAGAGTCTTTTGGCGGCTTCCGACAACTGTCCATACACACCCAGAGAAGAGCTGGCCACACGCAGCATCTCCACGGTGTTCAGGGCCAGGGGCCTCTGCTTGGCCTTTTCTTTCCTGCTTGTGGCCTCCACCTAGAAGACAGAAGAGAATCAGTGATTTGGGGGTTGGTGGGGGGAGCAGACGCCATAACAGAATCAGGACGTGTGGGCAAAGGGTCTCGTTTTGTTCATTTGGGTCTCTCTCTTTCTCAAATTCACTCTTCACGATAGTCAAGACTTGAATGAAAATTTATTCAGGCCCAGGAAAGGAAAAAGAAAGAAAATTCTTTTCTGGAGAATTTTCTAGGAAAAGAGAAAACCTGGAGGAATGGGGAAGAGTCAGGGGAAGGGGCTGTAAATTCAAAATCCATAGAGGCCAGCGTCAGCCAGGCCACAGGGATGGCAGGCGGGCTCTGGGGTGGCCGCAAGGGCAGGACTGTCTCGGGGGGGCCGCCTGCCCTCACTGCGCCTGAGTGCAGCCATCAGGGCCTGGTAGCATTGCTACATCTCCCAATTTGTCAAGAGGAGCTGGAAATTAGGACTTTTATGTGAAATCTCACAATTTTTAAATGTTGGTAACTATTTTGAAACTTCTGTAAACACCATACAGTTTAAATAAAACACTGGAGCACTACCATTTCCAACTGTTGAAGAGATGACTCTGCTTTGCCTGTGGCACAAACAATCCAAACATCTCAACTCTGAAGCCTCGGCCAGGGCAGAGCCTTCGGAATTCCAGACAGACGGATGTCAGGGTTAGCATTGAGGCCATATTGTGTATGTGCAGCAGTGGAGTCTGGGATCAGTGGGCTGAGATCTGGACATGGTGGTGATGGTGTCTCTGCAGGAATGTGACTGAGAATTAAAGCATGGAGCAGCTTTAGAAGGAGTTCTGGAAGCCTGAGTCAACTGCATGGGTGGGCAAGAGGGCACCCAAGGAAGGCTGGAGAAGGACAAGGCGGCTGAAGAAGGCCAGGCCGCACCTCAATGATTCTGGTAGCTGTCATGGGTGTAGGGCATTTGCTGTGATGGCCACGGACCTGCCCCCACCCTGTGCAGCCAGCCTCTTGCCAGGTGGCATCACCCTCTTCTTAAGGGCCAACGGCACTATAAAGGCCATGAAAGCTGACTGAGACCCCAGACCCATCTGTGCCAGCTGTGTGACCTTGGTCAGGTTTGGTGCCATGCAGATAGGTCCCTCTAGAGTTGTTAGCTTTAGAGATCACAGAAAAGGGACATCTGAGTGACAGGGAGTCTTGCCAAAAGGAGAGAATGCCCAGGGGGTCATGTGGAAAGGGCCAGTGGAAGGGCCCGGCGGGTCATGGGTGTGGGACAGCGCCTGGTGCAGAGCAGGCATACAGCACACTGCTGCTTTGGTTTGAGCAGAAACATCTTAGGAGGAGTACACGCGTGAGTAACCATTCTTTCCACACGATGTCTGCACTTCAGGAAGAGGGAGAAAGACCACAAGCCAAGGTCATGAGCTATTCCCCCAGCCAGAGGCTTCCTACCCCTACCCCTGACAAATGTGACAGATGGGGTGGAGCAGGCCCACCTGGGCTTCCTTCTCCAGCTTTGTCATGTTTAAAAACATCTGTGCAATCTCCCGGTCGAACACTCGCACGCGGTCCCAGTCCAAAAGGAGAGATCTGTCTTTATCGGTGTTAACCTGCAGGAGGAAGGATAAAGGAGTGCCCGGAGAGAAAGGATCCAGGTGCGCCCACTGCTAGGGAAGAGACGCGAGGCAGATGAAGCAAAACGCCCAGCTCTGCAGTCTCACAGCTGCACCTGGTCGGGTGTGCAGTTACGCCAGCAGACCCAGCATCCCCAGAGGGAAGGCTGCTCTGACCCTGCCTACCCCCTGGGATCAGGCAGACGGTCTCATGGGGGTAGCCCCAAACCGAGGCTGATGTGTCCTTAAGGAGCCTCAGAGCCTCCATTTCCCACGCCACCTCTGCCCACCCCCTAAGGCCTGGCCAGCACTAGGTATGGCCCCACCCAGGGGCCCCAGCCTGGCGTTGACAGGAGCAGCTGTCTTATGTTCTAAATCTTATGAGAAGCTTTCATGGAGGCTTTATTTAGAGAAGGGGTTCTAAGACTTTTAAAAAGTTTGAAAGTCAGTGGCCTGTGGCCCTGAGTCCAGTCCTTGGACCTGATCGCCACAGCTGATGGCCCCCAAGGGGCACTGCCAAAGCTGAGTTCATTCCCATTTCTCCAAATTCAACACTTCCAGGCCTAGCCTTATCCTGCCACCTCCATGAAGGTGGGGGTCCCCTCCCTGGGCATCCCACAGACAACTGTCTGGCCTCCTTCCTCTGGGACAGCTGCCCACATTTGTGCCCTCGGCCTTGGGATGGCAACAGTCATGATGATGATGATGATGACGATGATGATGATGATGATGACGATGATGATGATGGAAGACTCTCAGAATCCACACCCCAAACCTGGAAAGACCCTGCGTGAACAGAGAAGGGACAGCAGACCTTGGCCTGCAGCACCCAGTAGGTCTCTGGTTTGAAGGACTGGATCTTGTCATGTCTCTCCACGCAGAATCCCAGGGTCGGGGTTTGACATGGCCCAAACGAGATGAGGGAGCTATCTAGGTTGCCATATTTCCCCTGGAAATATTTAGTCTGAAACCTATAAGGAGAGGTGGGGGAGAGAAAGATATTTTGGTCATGCATTCACTCAAGACACCATCAACCGCCCGTGAGTCCACCCCAGGGCTAGCTGGTGGGTGCAAGCAGGAGGCCCAAGGTGGGCGCTCCCTGCTCAGAAGACGGGGTAAGAGGACGTACTCAGCATGGGGGGCTGGGGAGGGTGCATGTGGGTGGAGAGGAGGAATGAGTGTGTGCTGATGACAGAGTGGGAGAGAAGAGCAGAGGTTCCAACCATCCTGGGGGGGGAATCCCTTCTATTATATTCTCTGCCCTCCTCCATCCCCTCAAGACCCACTCAGTATGGACCACCACACTCTACTTATCAAGCAGTGGCCTGTATGGTCTATTTCAGCTAAATAGACAGTTTTCTTCAGGGTTTTTAAAATACTGACAATTGTCTGGTGCTGATCAGGGCCGGGGCTGCGGATGGGATCAGCCAAGGCAGGGGCTCTGGCCAAGGGAGGGCGGCCAGCACCTGGTGAAGGCGCAGCCAATGCGCAGGTCCAGCTCCTGTCGGGCGTCCACTGAGAGGGCCTCATTGTGGTCGGGCTCACCCAGGCGGGCCATGGCGTTGCAGATGTCCGTGTCCGTGATGGAGCTGAATCTGGCCCGGAACACTGTCTTCTCGCCCCCGTGGGCCTGATTCATAACAGGCAGCACGGCATCCAGGACCTGGGGAAGGCGGCCGGCTGTAACCCACCCCGAGGTCTCTGCCTCCCACTCCACACCTCACGTGTGAGGCCTGGCTCCTCTCCAGGTGTGTGTGACCCCTCTCCACTCCTGCTTGACCCTCCTCTGTCTCCCTTTCCAGAAGCCTCAATCTCTCTAGAATACTCCTGCCACATGGCTTCCTTTCCTTCTGTCTACAGTCCTGTTCAAACATCCCCGCTTCTTACTATTGCCCTGTAAGCTGCCACTCTCTTCTTATCTCTTCCATCCCCACGAAGCCAGGAAATGCTATTGCCAAGTATGCAAGGGAACTCGGAGTCACCAGATCTGCCCCACTGGACCCATTTCCCCTCCTTCTAGAAGAGGGAGTGCTGGGTGGAACTTTTACGAGACTAGAGAAAAGACAGGGAAGGAGAAAGGAATGAAGAGGAAAAGGCAGTGGGCAGGAGTGGGAAGGCCACGGCGACCCCCATTGTGGGGGCATGGGTGGCTCAGGGCTGAAGCACAGCAGGGTCCTGGAGTCGAGACTAAGAAGGCAGTGCAGTGGGAGGGGAGTCACGCTGCAGCCTGGCCATGCAGCTTCTTTACAGGGAAGTGGCTTCGTTTCTGAAGGGAGAAAGCCCCATGAGCTGCCACCATTCTCTACCCCCCCCCACCGAGAGGGCCCCGGGGGAGGGGCAGCCCTGCAGGAGAGGGGACCGGAGGGGGTGTCTGGGAAGTGATGGAGCATGATCGATTTTGCAGAGGGTGCTCTGAGTTGCACCCAAGTTGCACTGGAAGTACTTCCTGCCAGGCCCCGGGTGAAAGCTGGGGATGCAGAGGCAGGAGGGTGACTAGTATGGAGTCACAGCCTGAGGGGCACCAGGGGACGCCTGCAGTCATGACCAGCACGAGGCAGGCATGGGAGCTGCCACCTGCTTCCCCGAGGGAGGGCTCCCTGGGGGGCGGCAGAGGAGGGAGGGCATCCTAGGAAGAAGATGTGGGAAGGTGGGAGGTGAGAAGGATGAGGCACGGAAAGGAGCACAGAACCCTGCCGGGCATCAGCCGGCACTGACGGGAGGTCCCTGCAAGGCTCCAAGTGGGCTTCTCCTCCAGACAGCCCCAATCGGAAACCTGCATTCACCTAGAAAACTCTGCCCTTTCTAAGTTCACTTGTCCGATGTGCCTCCAGCAAGTGAAGTAGCACTCCACCACCCTTAGCAGAGTCCATGCATTTTAAAGTCCACAGTATTTCCAAGATAAAGGAGCACAGAGGCATTTCTAAGCCAATGTAGTTGATTCCCCACTTCTGCCCCAGGAATGGTGTGACTGTGCGGCAGTTCAGGGTGGGCAGGAGGGCTGGGTGTGAGGCCTCAGCGGGCCCCACCCTCACCTCGAAGCAGATGTTCTCCCCTTCCTTGTCGCAGTCCAGCCACAGCACGATGTAGTCGCAGCCTCTGCCCTCCACCTGCCATAGAGCATGTGGTGACTTGCCCCTGCCATGGTCCCGCCCCACTGTGCGCACCCATGCGCTCCCGCCGGCAATGGAGCAGAGCCCGACTCCCAGCCTGTTTAGGAGGCCTGGTGCCCAGGCCGGGGCACAGGCTGGTGGAGTCAGCTGCGGTTTGGCTGGCTTAGCCACTCAGAAAGAATTTAGTTCAGAACTGTTGTTTCTTGGACCAACAAAGTTATAAATGCAAGATGATCTCAACCTTAGAAACCGCATAGAAAAAGGGCTGAAATGAAATAACCCTAAATGTTAACAGCGGGTGTCTTGGGCAGTGTGATTATCAATAATTTTTTCTTCTTTCTACTTACTTATATTTTCCAGTTTTCTATAATGTGTATGTATGTGTTTCAAAATTAGAAAAACAACCACCACCAAACAATTTTAAACGCGGAATTCCTGCTCTCCAAGGCTGAGGGACCCGGGTGCCCAGGTTGGTGGACTGTGCTGTAAGGGGGAGTGGGCCTGAGAGGTGCCTCGTGGGCCAGCAGGGGGCGCCCACAGAGAGGGCTGCAGGCAAGGGAAGCCAGGGGAGGACCTCCCTGGCAGTCTGCACCCTCCCTTACCCCTCGTGGGCCACCCCAAGCACCTGCAGGAACTTCACCATGTTCAGCTTGGGGTTAGCTTCCTTCTTCTCTGTTGGGGCTTGGCTGAACAGCTCTGCCGGGTCCACCTTGTCCCACTTGTTGTACTTTCCTACAAACCATGAGCACAATGGCATTTGAATTGGACTTCATGGCTCACAGGCGCTTGGCCTCCTAGAGCGTCGTAACCCGGTGAGGATGGTGACGGTCTGTCTCACCAACGGGGAGAGGGATGCTTGGAGCACAATGTTCCCAGGGCAACACTGACAGTCAGAGGCAGAGCCTGGCCTTCCACCTCAGTCACCCATGGCAGCCACACAAACTCTGGGCAGGGCTGCTGCTCCAGCCTCGCTTCCGGGATGTTCCCTGGCTGGAAGCACGGCCCCTGGGCTGGCTCACTTTGCAAGAACCCCCAACCATGCCCCTTGCGCCTTCATCTTCTCCTCCAGACTGTATTTCTGTAACCCACCTGCCCTCGGCACTTAACCTGGCACATGAGATGGGCACTCAGCTCAGCTGATCTCCATGGAGAACCAATCTCTTTCGGTCTCATGTCAGCCACATCTACCTAATTCCCTCCTTGGGGCTCGGCACCTGAATGCTCAGCCCTCTGGCTTTCTTTTAGGCCCCGTTTCTTTCAGCCTGCCAAGCTCAAATACTGGCACCCTACCTGCTGGCTGGTAGTAAAGCTCTAGGTCCTAATGCTTGGCCACAAAAATGAATCAATGTCACTGTCATCACTGAGCAGCAAGAACCACTGAGGCTTTGCTGTGTGCCTGGCCCTGCACTAAGCACTCTACCTTCACCGTCACACTGAGTCCCTAAACAATCCTGGGAAGTGGATGGCACTGTCTTAAGACCCAGTTTACACACGAGGAGCAGAAACTCATGGGGGCCCAGTCCCAGTGCCATCCCAGCCCATGAGCTGTGGTCAGAGGACAGGTTGGACTCTCCTCAACCACAAGGCCCTGCACGTAGCCCTGCTGGGTCACTAAGCTGGCCCTTCCAAAGTGATAGATAACAATTACAACATGAGGATGACGATGGCAACCACCGAGTGACTGTGGACAGCAGGCCCACTCAGCAGGAGAGAGCCCTCTCTGAACGCCTGCACGGGCCAGGCCCCTCAGATGGGCACCACCACCTCCCGTCTGCACAGGCAGGTGCACAGGGCAGGAATGACTAAGGGGTGCTGCTGGGATGGGCACCCATGGGCACTGAGACCAGAGCCTGCATTCTGGGCACTTCACCCAGGGACCCTGAGTCCACTCTCCACAATCTGCTGGTCCCATGACTCATGGGTTCTGGACAAGCTTCTCTCCAACTGGACCCTGGGCAGCACCGTGCTGGGCTTCCCTCAGCGGAATGGAGGGTGGGCAGGGGGACTGGGGGCTCACCCAGGAAATCCAGGGTCATCACATGACCACAGACGGACGTCATCTTGAAGCGGACTGCCTGGCCAGCGAAGGTCCCGGTGTACTCGTGCACTGAGCATGTTCCGTTCAGCCCTTTGTGTGAGGACATGCTCCCTGGGGAGGAGAACCATGGTGATGGCTGCTCCAGTGAGCTGCAGTCGCTGCAGAGGCCCCAGGTCAAGACACTGCCTCTTGGAGGGCCAGAGTCCCCTTCCCCAGAGTGCTAAGTGGTAATACTCCTCAGGCACTGCAGGTAGTTTAGTGCCGCGAGATCTAATGGTTCTTGGGGAAAACACCAGCAGTCAACCAACCCAGCATAAGGGGTGGGCTGGGGGCCACGGGCGCCCCCTCTGAACACCCCTGGGCTATTCTCTGTATTTTGGCCTCACTTCTTTCAAACTTTCCTCAGAGGTCCCCAAGGATCTCCTAATTACTGAGTCCCATGGTGTCTTGTCACACTTGACTGGCAGCCCCTCAGCCGAACTTTCGCAGCCTCTGGGGACTGGGCACCACAGCTCAGTTCTTCTCTCCCTTTTAGAGGTCAAGACAGATGTCTGCCATTTCTGGCTACCCAGCACCCAAACACCCTCCCTGTCTGGAAGGAAGTCAGAGACGGTAGGGGAAGCAGCACCCCACCAACCACCGCAGTGGACAGAGTCGGGGTCGGGCAGACATTCCCTTTCCCAGCCCCCCAGTGTCTCCGGCTGCTCTCGAGGGACACAGGGTGCGTGGGCTGCAGCTGCAGCCATCAGGGCTCCAGGGCAGTGGTGGGGGCCCTGTGGTGATGATGCCGTGGCCTCCTCAGACTTAGACTGGGGTGGGATCCCGGCTGTGTCTTTTTCCTTCCAGTGAATTCCCTCTCTGAGTAAGTTACCAGGGCTGGTTTCTGCTGCTTGTGACCAACTACCCTGATCAGACAGTGTTCTGACAGTGGCCGTCGGCGCCAGCTGGTGCTATGCTGTGAACTCTGCCTGCACCTTTTGGGAGCCCCAGGCCAGGCTCACGCTGGGTGTGGCAGTAAATGCACCCACGGCAATTAACACCGAGGTGCTTCAGTAGCACCTGCGGTCCTGAACCGAATCTACTCCAGCAGGCTGGAGTCACGCTTCAGCAAAAGAAAGAAACTGTGTAAAGTGGAAACAACCATGCTTACAGATCAAAGCCATAGAGAACGCCAGGGTTGGTCTTCCCTACCTCGAGAGAGGATTTTGGCAATGGACTGGGCCAAGGACGGCTTTTCTGCAACCATGAGCACGGTCTTCATCTTGTCTTACAGCTGACAGGGCCCTTGGCCTCCACACTCCAGGTTCAGGAAACGGCGATGAAGAAGTTGAGAAACGGCTCTCCTGCAGCTCCACGCTACTGTCGATGCTGACTACTGAGGAGAAGAAAAGACACGCAGAAGAAGGCAATGCTTCCAGCGGAACCCATGCCACTAACAAGGAAACTCACTTTAAGAGGCAAAAAAATAAACCTGAGGCAAGAAAAAGAAAAATTAGGGAAACTTGAAGACATCTGACATACGAACAACCAGTCAGGTCAACTGAACTGGCTCAGAGATGACCTTGGGAATTCGGCTTCATTGGGGAAAAGCTGAGGTAGTCCCACGACCTCAGGTCAATTTTGTCTCCATACCCATGCTCGGGAGACATTGGGCCTTTGGACCTGGATCGATGGGTCCGGGAAGAGTGGACGCCCGACCCTCCCCCAGGCAGCACTTCCGTCTACTCCCTGTGGCTGAGAGCGGCACCTCCACCTCAGCTAAGCATCCAGGTGCCCTGGGACGCCTTTCTAAATGCAGGCACCCAGGCCGGGCTCCCAGGTCCTTCTGACCCACCACCGCGCCTGAGATCCACTGGCCAGGGGATCCAGTCCCCGGCAGAGCACTCGAGGCCCTTCACAACAGGCTCCCACCCACCTCTCGCTTTGCAGGTCGTACTCTGGCCAATTAGAGACCACTGTCTAAAGAAAAAGCACATTGTTCAGGCCTCTGTTCCCTTTGCTCAGAATGTTCTGCCGAGCCTGGGGAACGCAGATGGGCTGTGGGAAGGCCCAGCTCAACGCTAACTCTTCCTTAGAGCGCTCTCCCCACGCCCGCCAGCAGAGGAATCTCTTCGTCCTCTCTGGCCCCTCGCCACCCTCTGCACATCACGCGCAGTCGGCTACCACCTCATCCCCCCGCTGCACACGAGTGGCTTGATGTCTGAGTCACTGGTGGCAACGGCAACAGCTGGTTCTGTGCTCGACAGAGGACATTTAATGTCTGCTGGCTGAGTGAAAGCAACACGTGAACACTTTCTCTCTTTCTGATCCTTAAAAATATGGCATTGACACCGACAAACAGAGTGCTGTATACAAACAGACTCGTATTGAGACAACCGGGCAACCTTCTGGGAATAAAAATAAAGGTAGACACGTACTTTATAACTTCCACCAAAACAGATTCCAATTTCTAGCAAAGATTTAAGTAAAAACATGAAACCAGAAAAACACCAGAAGAAAACATGGACTTTAGTATGAAAAAGAAAAATTCGTAAGTCCCTCAGCACTCAGAACCACATTCTTCATGTTTAAAAGCATTTGGCTTCCTTTTCTGTGAACTGTCTATTTATATTTTTACCCATTTTTGTCAACTGGATGGCTGTTTTCTTACTTTTGGAGTAGTTTCTATAAAGAGGAAATTAGCCCTTTGTAATAGGAAATGATTCCAACAATACTCATCAAAGCAAGTTAGAGCTCCAAGGAGCTCCGGCTTCTCCCCCCAGCAAAGATGAGGGTCAGCACACACGCACAGGTGACCGTGTGGGAGCGGGGAACTCAAGTGTGAGTGATGAAATTCACTCAGAGCAAGTGCTTGAGAGCCGTGGGACCATACCTTACACCCCAGCACTCCCACTCCCAAAAGGGAACTCAGTGACCCCACAGGTAGTCACTGAGGACCGACGACACGCTTGGCCTGTCCTGGGTGCAGGGAGTACAGCATCGAGCAACCCCATGTTGTCCTCTGGCACTTGATGTCACGCTATGTGCTACGTGGGGCAAAGCAGTGCAGGGAGGGGAGGCACTGGGCCAGAGGGAACTGGGAGGAATCTGGGGGCAGAGCCCGGGCAGAAGGACCAGGGCAGGGTCGGGGACAGCGAGGAGGCTGGTGGCAGGGCTGAGAGGGAACAGGGGTGTAGACCTCGGGCCGTGGACTGTGGTTTGCTCCTGGACTGTGGTTTGCTCCGAAGGAGTGGGATGATCTGACTTCAGGTGTTAAAGGGACCCCTGCATGTTAAAGGGCTGCCCCGCAGAAAGGGGTGACTGGGCCCAGGTGGCAGCAGCAGAGGCGCTGAGGGGAAGTTGGAGTCTGGGCAGATTCCGAAGGCAGAGCCGACAGGACTGGGATGAGGAAGAGCAAGGGGAGTCAAGAATGACTCCTAGGCTTCTGGCCTGGGCACTCAGAGGGGACTCCCTTTTCTTGAGCTGGCAAATATGGAGGAAGGAGCTGTTCGGGGTGGGGGTGGGGGATGGACCTCAGGAGCTGCGTCTCAGGCATGTTCAGTGTAAGCTGCCCATTAGACAGCCCTGGCAGGCTGAAGGAGGCGGCAGCAGGGGGAGGGAACCCAGGCAGGGGTCAGGGAGACAGGTGGGTCAGGAGAGGCGGGGTCCTGAAAGCCAAGGGAAAGGAACTTTGGGGGGGCCTTCACTCCATCAAAGGCTACCCACACCTGCAGATGTGCGAGATGACAGCTGAAGACCTGACACGAGGTCTGGTGATTTGAAGGTCCCCGGTGGCCCTGACGGGAGCTGTGGGGTGCAGCGACAGACATGAAAGCCCGAGTAGGGTGAGCTCAGCAAAGCCTGGGAGAAGGAGGGGGATGGTATGCTTGTTCATTGCTTTTTTTTTTTTTAAAAGATTTTATTTTTCCTTTTCTCCCTAAAGACCCCTGGGTAAATAGTTGTGTATTTTTAGTTGTGGGTCCTTCTAGTTGTGGCATGTGGGACACCACCTCAGCATGGCTTGACAAGCGGTGCCATGTCCGCGCCAAGGATTCGAACCGGCGAAACCCTGGGCCGGCGAAGCAGAGTGCGTGAACCCAACCACTCGGCCATGGGGCTGGCCCCGTTCATTTTGTTTTAAGATGGAGGATGTGCCAGCATGTCTGTGTGAGGCTGGGACTGGTCCAGTAGAGAGGGAAGAGAAGATGCAGGAGAGATGTCTCCTGGTGGGCGAGGGGGTGAGAGGAAGCGGGTCAGCCAAGGGCTGCCCTTGGAGGTGAGCAAGGAGAGGACAGGAGGCGGCCCTGGGGGCAGGCCTACAGCAGGGAGAGAGCTGGGTTTAGTGTGGATGGGATCTGCCAGGGGAGTATGAGGGAGAGGGAGGGGCCGGGTTGAGGGGAGTGATTCTCTAAGACCGTGGGGAGGAGGTGAGGGCATCAGGGCATGCTCCAGTGGATCCAAGAACAAAGAAAGCTGGAGGGGGGATGGGGGACATGGGGGCAAAGTCCAAGTGGGAAAGGAGGCCACGGAAAGAGCAGTAGCGTTGTCAAGACTGTCCACGTGGACACTGAGTCTCCCAGGGGCAGGACATGGCAGCGCCTGTGATGGAACAGGCAGCTGGGGAACTCTCTGCAGCATTATCAGTCATAATAAAAGATCAGAAACGATGAAGTGTAGGTCAGCAAGGAATTAGTTAAATAGACGTATGGCACGTCCGTACAGTGGAACACCAGAGGCAGCTAGAGAGGAAAGCACTGCCAGGTAAATGCTAACATGGATGAGACTGCCGAGAGGACGCAGAGAGTCGGGGGTGTGACAGCGCATGCGGAGCACTGCATGCGTGCACATGCTTGTTTGTGAAAAGTAGCAGTGGAAGCGGTCCCCTGGGGGCGGGCCAGGCGCATCCTGCTTACCACAGTCCCTTTTGCATGGTTTACATTGAGGGCTGTGGACATATGTGACTAGTCAAAAGACCTAAGACAACAGATTTAAAAATAAAGACAAAATAAAGTAAGACCAGAAAAATAAAGAAGGGCTGGGAAGGGCACCGTTCAGAAAGGATGCCAAAGAAACCACCTTCACTTCAGGGCTTCTGTTCCTCCTCGTGACGTCCAGGGGATGCGGCCCAAGGGCTGCTTCTGCTGTCAACCCTGTCCCCTCTGTGAGAGGCCAGACGACCACAATGAGGCCAGTGATCTTTATGAGAAAGCTGCCCTGGAGATAACCATTTGCTCTTTTCCGCAAAATAAATAATTGGACATTCCTCTTAAATACAAAACCATCCCAGAGAAAAAAGCCGAGAATGCCTGGAATAACAGCACCGATGGTCTGCAGACGAACCCACTGACCTGATGACCACTCTGGGCACGTGGCCCACCGCCCCGCTGTGTGCCCCTACTCTTGTTCTCCCAAACACCACCTCCTCCCTCCCTGTGCGTCAGGGTGGGTCCTGCCCTAGGCTTCCACCTAGGTCTACTTACTCTGACCCCTGCCATCCATCCCCCTGAAAACCACACCTGGCATCTGTGGCAGTGCATCCACGGAGGGGGTCCCCCCATAGATGGTGGCCAGTTCATTGCTGTATCTACAGCACCCAGCACTCACTAAAGGTTTGCTGAATGAATGAATGAACAACCAAGGCTGTTTGTATCCAGCCTCTGCTCTCCATTCTGGGGAAAGTCAGATGCCCAGAAGTGCGGTTTCAAGGGACCCAGGGGCTTCCCTTCCCCCTCCCAGAGAAGCCAGAGGCCAGAGGGGAAACAGGCAGCAATGGGAGATTGCTCTACGACAGCTTTCGAGCATCCCATCCCTTTCAAAGGAGGCAAAAGGTTTTATCCCAGAATGTTTTGTCAGAGTTGCTCACTTCTGTGTCACAATAGCCAGCAATGACAGCGTAGTGATGACATGCCAGGCTCCGGCAGTCCTGCTGGTGTCCTCGGGTGGGGCGCTGCCCTATGGTGAGAACTGCAGGGTCAGGGGGACCAGAGCTCAGGCAGCAGGACTGGGACCGCGCCTGTCTGCTCCAGAAGCCGCGGGCTCAGCCTTCACCCTGGCCCGCCTCGGTGGGCATCCCAGGCGGAGGAGCAGCCGCTTACCTCCCTCGGGCACTCACCTACAGAGTCTCCTCCACTCACGTGGTTTTCTGTCTGACGCATCCCAGACCGTAAGGAAGTGCCCAGAGAATGGGGGCTGCATTTTGTTTACCCTACTGCTAAGTGTACACAATGAGCAAACACTGACTGAATGAATGATTGAATATGTAAAAGAGTAATTTTACCTGCAAAGTCAATAATAGAAATAGTCTTTTAGATATCTAAAATTTAAAAACTGCATACACTTCTCCTTCTCAACGTTCTTTTTTTCCATGGTGTTGAAGTTTCTAGAAGTTTTACATCTTCACTACTCCCCTTCATACCCAAGGATCCTAAATACTTTTTCAGGAGATAACAGATTCTTCTCTCAAGATCCCTTTCAAGAGAAACATTTTGCCCTGGCATCTTCAAAGGGATCACCTCATTTATCCAGGACTAGGGCTACAACTGGACAGTGCACACAAAAGCATGTCAGCATCATGCCCCAGTTCAGATCACCTGTTTCCCGCCAGACTGTGCAGTGGCTATTCCACATTTGATACGTGGCCCGTTGTCAGCAGCTCACGCTCTAAAGAAACCACCTTCTAGTTCTATAGTTTATACTTCAGTTCTGCACGGGTACTTTGTAATATCTGAGTATCACTGTTTTATTAGGAAAAAAACCAATCACTTCCTTCAGGGATATAGAATCATGGAAGCCCGGGAAAGGGAGTTTGGTGACGATCCGGTGCCACCATCTCAAGGAGGAACAAACTAAGACTCAGAAAGGCAGTTTCTAAAGGAACCCTGGGAAGGTGGCTGAGTTGGGGCTGAAACTCACGCTTCCTTACTTCCAGCCAGGCACGTTTTTTGTTTTTAACTGTACCAGGTTCCACCTCTTAAAAGACGTCCGCAGTCTTAACTGTGATTAATCTTGAGACCTCCCTATTTTTCCATTAAGGCACATCCCCAATTTCAAAGTGGAAGCCAGTGAGAACAAAAGCTGAAAGCAGTGGTGTGCAAACTTCATTTATATACCATCTTAATGCTTTGGCCTTATCAACATTATTATTCACTTCAGTTTTTGCTTTTTCAAAAAGCTTAAATACACAAAAAATGACAATTTTACAGCCTCACAGGAACTGAAAGCCTGTCATCAATGGCCAGAACCCGGTTCTTTCCAGCAACCTACACGGTATGTCAAGTGTGACCTTGTTGCCTGCCAAAGCTGAGCCTGAAATTTGCCCTCTAATTTCAAAAGGGGGATTAGCAAGTGCTAAGGGGGTGCTGACGGCAAACACCCCAAACTGGGGCTGTAATTAGGAGGGAGCAGCAGGTCAGCCTCTCACCGCACTGTCCACTCTCACAGCTACCCCACATGCTGCCAGTCCTGTGGCAGACACTGGACTGTCCCCTCACCTTAGTGTCCCAGGACCTCGTGCACCCAGCTCCGTAGGGAGGCCCGGCAGCAGGGCAAACAGTAGTCACCCCGCAGGACCGACCACGTGGAACCTTCCCAAAGACGAGGGAGGAAACGCCGGTTCACTCAGCTCCTCCTCTGCAGCAGGCACGTTATAGCTCCCCAAGGAACCTGCAAGGCCGGCGGTATTGCAATGTTTCAAACTATGAGGCAACTGAGGTTTGGAACAATTGAGACTAGTGTCTGGTGACCTTTGCTAAGGCTCTAGGGACCCCAGGGCTCACCGGCCATCGAGCCCACATTGGGCTGACTTCTTACGGCCTGTTCCCAAAGGCTGAGCGCTAGAGGCAAGACAAGGCCATGGTCTTTCTGTTCACCTCTGAGAAATTCCCGCCCCGGACTCTGGCAAAGCTGTTCACAAAAGCACCCTGTCTGCTCCACGTCAACAGCTCAGGGCCACGCGCGGGCGCCCGGAGACCCGGCCGGGGGCAGGCGGCACGTGGAACCCGCCTCGGCCCGGAGCCGCGCGCACTGGGTCCGACCCTGTTCCCGATGGCTGCGCGGCCGCCCGAGCCTCAGTTTCCCCACCCGTGACGACAAACTCTGATAACACACCACATCGCTAATAACTGCCGGAGGTTGGATGAAGGAGAGTACTCAGCGCAGCGCCTGCTCCCCTCCAGGCAGCGGCTGGGTGCTGGCCCATCACCCGCCGACCCCACACAAGCCTGCGGCGAGGGGGGTCCACGCCGCCGGGGAACAGGAACAGGCGGCGAGAATGCAAAGAGCCCGGCCGCGACCCTCTCCCGAGCCGCAGGGCTGGGGGTCCCCCGGTGCCCGGAAAGGGCCGCGCTCCCACAGCCCCGGGCCGCCCCGCACGGCGCCCGCGGCCCGCCGCTCACCCACAGCCCGAGCTCCCGCCGCAGCTCCCGCTCCTGGGCAGCCGCCGGCAACCCCACTTCCGGGTCCCGCCGCTCTGGCGTTCCCGCGTCTCCCCGCCGGCGCCCGCACGTCTCCGTTCTCGGGTTCCGTGGCTCTCGCGTTCCGGGAGCACGGCCAGAGTTGGCCCCGGCCCGCCGCTTCTGCAGGGGTCCCCGATCCCTCCAGCCCATTCTTCCCGCCGCGACGAGGCAATATGACAGTCATCATTACAATAAACATGAAAACTAGCTGATAAGCATGAGAATGTGTATGCTGTTAATAATCAAAATAATTGAAAACTGTAGACGGGTATATAATACTGCTCAGCCATAAAACAAGATGAAATCGTGCCATTTGCGACAACATGGATGGACCTTGAGGGTATTATGCTAAGTGAAATAAGTGAGACGGAGAAAGCCAAATACTGTACGATTTCACTCGTATGTGGCAGATGAAAACCACCACAACAAACACAACAAACACGCAGATACAGAGAACAGACTTGGGGGGGGGGGGCGGGGGCGTAAAGGGGCACGTCTGTATGACCAGGGATGGAAACCCGGCTTTCAGTGGTGGACACCGTGTAGTCTATACAGAAATTGAAATATAATGTATCCCTGAAGTTTATATAATATAAACCAATGTTACCTCAATAAAAAAAGCCAAAAAACAAACTACAGATGTGTGCAGAGCAAGCTTCTTTCAATGCTGTTGACAAATAAAAATGGCAAGTAATAGGATATATTGGAGTATATGAGGAAGCCATTTTGTGTAAACCTAATTCGGCCTGACCTTATCTTTCCAAAAGGGCCTGACCATAGCCGTTGAGCACGCATTGTATATCTCCTTTAGAGATTCCCTATGGCAAGAGCAAAAGGCCCTTGAGATAAAGGTGCAACTTCTCTCCCCCTCCCAACGTTGGCATCTCCTTAAGGATTAAGCATCTTTCCTTAGGCTAGAAACTGATTGCTGCACTCACCTGTGACCGCCTGGCTCGAGACAATAGACTTGCCCCCTGCTACGCCCTCTGAGATAGCAGACCCACTGCCTGCTGTATCCATCAAGTGCTGTGCTGACAGGGCAATCTTGTGACTATTGTGGGAGGGACATTTCAATCATATGTGAAACGTCCTGTTTGGGGGTATATAACCACTCTGTATACCTCACTTCTTTGGTGCCCTTTCTTCCTTCGGGAAGAAAGGCCCCGGGCCATGGTCCTCATATTTCAGCTCAGAATAAACTCACCTAAATTTTCATTTATAGATTGGTTATGGATTATTTTCGTCGACACTGTAAACATTTGTGGAATGAATAAATTGTAAAATATATGTGGAGCATGAATTGGAAAATAAAAGTAATTTTTTTTGTTAGAGCATTAGGATTATGGAAGATTTAAAATAATTTTTATGACCTGATTTTAATATCTTTTAAAGATTTTATTTTTCCTTTTTCTCCCCAAAGCCCCCCAGTACATAGTTGTATATTCTTCGTTGTGGGTCCTTCTAGTTGTGGCATGTGGGACGCTGCCTCAGCGTGGTTTGATGAGCAGTGCCATGTCCGCACCCAGGATTCGAACCAACGAAACACTGGGCCGCCTGCAGCGGAGCGCGCGAACTTAACCACTCGGCAACGGGGCCAGCCCCCTAATATCTTTTAAACAATAGCATACGCACATTTCCTTTGGTCCCTGCAGACACTTTTCCCAACTTGCCTTTATTAGAATACTAGCCCTGATAGATGCTCTGGAAAAAGAAAAGTTTATGGTCAAATTAAGGTTGGGAAATGCCGAAAATTAAGTTACAGTGAGATTTCACTTTCAAAACAAAACTGCTGATTCCAAACCCACTCTTTAGCCAGTTCTCTACCTCCAAAATAGCAGCCTCATCTTCCTGGTTGCTCCAGCCCAAAGCCTTGAAGGCATCCCGGATTCCTCTCTTTCTCTCAGTCGTTATCCATCACCATCTTCAAATTATACTTGAGATCCAGTCAGTCCATCCTGCCTCGGTGGCCACCACACTGACCCAAGCCCCATCTCCTTCCTGGTCTCCACCCTGCGCCCTTTGGGCTGCTCTCCACACAGCCCAGGGTTACAGCGGCCAGGACTAAGAGTGGATCTGAAGGGTGTGTCCAGCTGGCAGAGAGGCAACACAGGGGCCCCGGCGCCCCTCGAACGCAGCTCAGGGCTTTGTCCTGCTGAGCAGCAGGGAGCACGTGTGGCCCGGCCCCAGGAGGAGGCGCTGAGCGGGCAGCTCTGCGTGCCTGCTTGCCTGGGGGCTCCCGCCAGCGGAGACACCGCCGCTGCCATGCGCTCTCCCACTGCCTGGGGAGCCCTGCAGCCGAGCCCCCCGCAGACCTCTCAGCGAGCTGTGGGGCAGACGGCTCTGCGGACCCTTATGTTGTCAAATGACCAGGATTCAGAGGAACCCTTGACTTCCGCATCCTTCGGAGGAACCCCTCGACCCTCCTTACATTCGCACAGGTGCCTGGTTGTGGTGGGAGGGACTCCTGAGAGCTCCTGGGTCTCTCTCCTCTCTGGTAGGGCACATGCTGGGCCATGGTCTTAATAATACCGTAACTAGTTAACACACACCTAGTGCTTACTCCCTCCTAGGCACTTTTCTATTATTAATGCATTTAATTCTCATGATGACACTAGGAATTAGATATTATTATTATCCTTATTTTACACATAAGAGAACAGGTCACACAGATGTCAATGGCAGAGCCAGGTTGCATGGCTAGTCAGCTGGGTTCCAGAAGCCAAGTTCTCACCCACTTGCTGCAGGGCCTCTCACTGCTTCTCATTCTCTATCTTTCCAGGCCCCAGGGCCCAGGCTGTGCTGACTCAGCTGGCCTCAGTGTTGGGGTCCCTGGGAGACGTGGGCACCATAGCCTGCACACGAAGAAGCAACATTGGGCCATATGCCGCAGACTGGACCAACATCTGCTGGGTCTCCAGAGTCCTCATCCACAAGAATGACAATTGGCCCTTAGGGATCCTCCTAAGGTGGTTCTTTGGCTCCAAGTTGGGCCACACAGCCTTCCCCACCACTGCTGGGCTCCAAGCTGAGGACAAGGCCAGTTATAACCGTCACTCCCCTGACACCGCAGGTAAGCCTGCATGGTTCCCAGCTCCAGACCCCAGGAGAAGTGAGACACAAACCTCCCAAATCCTCTGGCACACCGATGACATTGTCTGCTGGGTAAATTTTATTCTTTCTTGTCACCAAGATGGTTTATAAATCAGTTCTGGCATTTTTGTGTTTCTTGTACTCACATCTAATTAATGTCAGTTCCCTGTGCATCTCTGGCCCTGTGGCTGGCCGTGGTATATGGAGACCGGTTCATCTGTGCTCTCTGTACTTGGAAGTCAGTTTGGTTCAACCTAAAATCTGCCAATCCTCCTCTTTTCACCGAGGAAGACTGGCCCTGAGCTAACATCCATGCCCATCTTCCTCTACTTTATATGTGGGACGCCTGCCACAGCACGGCTTGCCAAGCGGTGCCATGTCTGCACCCGGGATCCGAACCTGTGAACCCTGGGCTGCTGAAGCGGACCCTGTGCACTTAACCGCTGCACCACAGCTGGCCCCAATTCCTTGAATGTCTTAAATATGTCCCTCCAATTTCTTCTGGTATAAAATGTTGCTCACAAGAAGTCTGATAATCTTATTTTCTTTCTCTTGTAAGTGATTTGTTTTTTTTCCTGGATGCCCAAAGTATACTTCCTTTTCTTTTGAGTTTAGTAATTTTACTGGACTACATCTTGGTATTGGTCATAGTGATCAGTTTTCTCAGGTTCACAGCTTCCCTCTGAATATATGGTTTCAAACTTTTTTCTAATTTCAGGAAAGTTTTCTTGAATGTGTATCTGTACATGGCTTTGGACTGTTCTCTTGTTTCCTTTTCAGCATCTCCTATTATATATGTGTTGGATTTTTTTTTTTTTTGTCTCTCCTCTAAACTTGTAATTTTTTCTCAAATTTGTTTTGTCTGTCTGTTTTTATATACTTGAAAGAGAGGAACAAAAGTGGGAGACTTACGTGACCTGATCTCAACCCTTCCTATGAGACAGTCATCAAACAGCACGGTGCTGGCCGAAGGAGAAAGACTGAGATCGGTGGAACATAGCAGAGCTTCCAGTCAAGAACAGACATGTATAATGTCAACTGATTTTTGTCAAAGGCACCAAGGCAGTTCAATAGGAGAAAGGAAACTCTTTTCAATAAATGGTGCTTGAAAAAAATGAGCCTTAGCTCCTACGTCATGCTCTCTGGCTCCTGCTGCTGTCCCTTGGTTTTGCCTGTACTCCCCAGAAATGAGGAGACTTAGTTCCTTAGGCTGCAGGGTCCTTCATGGAACTCAGACTTTATTTCTCTACAACCAAGAAATTTTCATTTTTTTCCTAGTTTCTTAGCAGTTTTTTCCCCCTTAAGTCAGGAATCATATACAACAGTGATTTTCAAGTTAAGACTCCCTGAGATGATCAGAAAACTGAACCAAAAAATGCAAGTCCTTTCTTCACAGCTCATGCACAATCTCATGGACTAAAAAAAGGCAGATGTAAAACTTACAGACAGTCAAGTGCAGGCATCATAAATGGACAAGATGATTCCATTCATACGCAAACACCCATGTTACCACCACCCAGATCAGGACAAGGAACATTTACAACACCCTAGAAGGCATTGCTACCCTCCCAGTCAGTACTTCCTCCCAAACACATCTGTAAGGGCTGAATTTGCTCCGTGCTGTGTACTAGGGGAGCGTGGATTCAGGCTGGAGTCTGGAGGCAGCGCCTGTAATGTCTCCTCATAAGCAGCACGGGGCGCTGTGGGCATGTCCCTGAGAGAGGCAGAGGGTGTTGGAACTGGAATGCCCAGATCCTGGCTCCCAGTTGCTCAGTGCTCCCAGGGGCTCACAGCTGTCTTCCAGCCCCTGCCCAGCACCCTTCATGGTACCATCTCCCAGGCTTGAATGCAGGGAGAGCCGAGGGGAGCGGATCTGCACAAAGAGAACCTCCCCTCTTCACCGGGGGCGTGGGAGGGACTGGGGG